TTCTCCGTATCCGCGCAAAGTTCCCCAGGGGTCCGAAAACGGTCTTCCCGTCTTTTCTCGCGGCGCAATTGCATGGATCTGGTGTCTAAAATCGCAAATGGCTGCTGTGCAAAGTTTCAGGTCAATCTAAGCTGCGGCGGCGCATGGGAAAGCGCGGACGTGAGGGGGCGCGTCTGACTGACGCTCATACGAATTTTGAATAAAAAAATCGCAAGTTAATTTGGCGTTAATTTGGCCGATACGCGGCTGACTGGGCGTCATACGATTTTCACTTAGCGCATCTGGTATACCAGCCTCGTACTCGTACTCGTATAGAAAAGCAAAGTTTCAGCCTACACAAATGCGTGTGGCGCCCGTCTCCAAAACCGTGCCTCGGGACATGTAAGATACGAGGATCAGTTCAGAACTCGACTCGGACGTTGGAGTTGACGTTATTTTGGCCGACGTCGTCTTTTCACCTGCCGTACAAGTAGTGTACCGGCGACCTCCTTCGTCTCCGGGAAGGTGCATCGTGAGTACTTTTGTTAGGGCTACATTTATATGGTGAGCGACGCGTTCGGGGTGGTGAGTCTCTCGTCAGATGTGGCGGAAGGCCAGGCTTGTCGCGGTAAATGAACATGCCCACGATGCGTCCATCAAAGGCATTTCGGCGGGGTCCTGGCCGTTCGCCGCCTCCGAGCCGCTGCACTTGTCCTTTTCTTCGTCGTCTATCGACGCGAAGTCTCCGTCGATTTTTGCCACCGCGGGAATGGATGGCGTCGCCCGTGTGTGGCGCCTTGTTGACGGTAAAGTCACCGAACGATTACGACGTGTCACGGTCCTCGAGGGACACAGCGCAGGGGTGCGTGCAGTCGCGCTGCCTCCTCCGCACCGTCCACATCGCCCCACCGCGATGCGTCTTGGTGCTGTAACTACATCGTACGATGCAACTGTACGACTTTGGTACATAGGAGACAAGACCCAACGCTGCTTCGTGACACAACCACTGCGGGGGCATGCTGCTCCTGTCCTCGCGGCAACTATCGCGCCAAACGGAAAGGTGCTCGCGACAGGTGGAGAAGACGGGCGCGTCTGCTTGTGGAGTCTGAGTGACTCGAAAGATAGTGACTGCAACTTGGTAACGGACTCGCTGTTTCGGTGCCAGTCTCCGTCCACTGCCTCTCCACGACCGGGCACGCTTGACCCTATCGCAAGCGTGAACGTGTATGAACGATCCCCCGTGCGTTGTGTTGCCTGGAGCACAGACGAGTGCGCGGCGACCGGAGGAGAGGATGGGTCGATTCGCGTGTGGAGCAAAGCAAATGGGGGCGGTATGGCGAAGTGCGTTTTTGTGCTCGCCGGACACTTTGCCGCGGTTACTTCGATCGCGCTATGCCCGAGAAAGCACACTCGTAAGAACGTGGGCAGGACGAAAAAAGGCCAAGACTTGATAGGGGAACGATCCCGGCTTCTCGCAGGCTGTGACGAAGGCTTCTTCCAAGTATGGCGTGTGGATGTTAGGGATGAGAAGAAGGACAACGCGATCGCAACGCTGACGTGGGAATGGGGAGATAGAGCACACGTGGGAACTGTGAGGTGTGCGCTACTCTTCACAACTGATGCTGGACTCGTTGTGAGTTCAAGTGAGGACCGGACCGTGCGTCTGTGGGACCTACAATCGGGCGAATGTGTCAACGTGTTACTTACGGGCTCAGCTGCAGCGGTAGAGTGCGTGTCGTTCTCGTTTTGTGGGTACTTCTTGGGCGTCGGCATCGCTAATGGATCTCTGCAGGTGTGGAGGGATGACACAGACAATTCACCTGCCGCAGATTTTGATGCTTCATCCGTGATGACGACAGTTGCGGCTCGTATAGAGCTAGGCATCCGCCCACTTCTTCACCCACACGATTTTGAGTCGTCAGTTGCAGCTGAGTCTGCTGCGGGCACAGCGGTGACATCATCTCTTTTACGTGAGGCTTTCGATGCGGCAAATGAGGATGCTTTAGCAGCATTGCCTCGAATCGACAAGGCAGTGCTGGTGTCAGGTGTTGCTAATGTTGAGCGATATAGGGGAGAAATACAAGTTGTTCGTGGAGCGTCTGGCGCGCTGCAGACACTGTGCATAGTATGCCATGAATGGATCGAGCTAAAATGTGTTGGCGGCGGCGACGGACGTGACCTGGCGATGCCATTGCCATGTGGGCACATTTTCCATCGCTCGTGCATATTACCTTGGTTATTGAACAGTACGACGTGCCCCACTTGTCGCGCGAGTGTGTTCAAAACCGGAGGCATCAAACCGACTGCGTGCACCCTCCTCTCCAAGGCGTCAGACTGCTCCAGACTGTGATCTCACACGTTGAGAAGAGGAGCACAGCTTTTATTGGACTAATCGTTTGGACTGTCGTATCTTTGGAGGCAGTTGACACCTTGAGGGTGACCACTGCATACAGTGCTCGAAGTTAGTTCCATAGACTTATGTACAAACGCGTTCTTCAGAAACAAATTGGCTGGCTCATGCACATCAGCTAGGGTCTATTCTTCACATTTGAGTTGTTCTTTGCACAGTTCAGCACGAAAAGTACTCCAGAAACCGTTTAGCTTTTCACTTTATGAAGAATATTCGTTGATTAAAAGTGGATTTGAACGAGTTCTTCCTTTTATTCAGAACAACAACACCGCAAGTCGAGGACTACAACAGCGTTGTGAGCCGCTTCAACTGAACACTGTTTTTTTCACTGTTCTTCATGTGGGCTTTCATGTTAATAAAAAAATGTTTTATTCACAGCTCGTCGTGCTCATCGAATTCATCAGAATCTTCCTCAGGGTCGCCCACATCACTATCCTGCTGGTAAACTTTAGAAACAATAGGGTTGCAGATGCCTTCGATTTCCTTGAGCTTTTCTTCGTACTCTTCTTTCTCACCGTTCTGATTATCATCTAACCAGTCGAGAGTTTCTCTCACGGCCTCTTCGATCGTGACTTTATCATCTTGATCTAGCTTGTCGGCAAGTTTATCCGTGTCAGCAATCGTGTTCTTCATGTTGTAGGCGTAAGTTTCGAGGCTGTTGCGAGCGTCCACTCTTTCTTTGATTTTGCGATCTTCTTCAGCAAATTCTTCTGCCTCTTCCACCATGCGCTCGATTTCCTCTTGGGAGAGTCTCCCCTTGTCATTAGTAATCGTAATTTTTTCAGACTTTCCTGTGCCCTTGTCCTCAGCACCGACATTCAAGATCCCATTCGCGTCAATCTCGAAAGTAACTTCGATTTGCGGGACACCTCTGGGTGCAGGTGGAATAGAAGTTAGCTCGAACTTTCCGAGCAAGTGGTTGTCCTTAGTCATCGCTCGTTCGCCTTCAAATACCTGAATCATGACAGTTTGCTGATTATCTTGATAAGTTGTGAAAGTCTGAGACTTTTTGGTGGGAATCACTGTATTCCGCGGAATCAACTTAGTCATGACACCACCAACTGTCTCAATTCCTTGCGTAAGAGGGGCGACGTCGAGAAGAAGTATGTCTTTGGTTTCATCTCCACCTTCACCTGAGAGAATACCGCCCTGGACTGCAGCCCCGAACGCAACTGCCTCGTCTGGGTTGACCCCTTTATTCGGCTCTTTCCCATCGAAGTATTCTTTCAACAGAGCTTGCACTTTCGGAATGCGGGTTGAGCCGCCAACAAGGACGATCTCGTCTATTTGTGACTTTTTCATTCCCGCATCCTCCATCGCTTTTTTGACCGGACCCATAGTTTTTCGAAATAGATCGTTGTTCAGCTCCTCAAACCGTGCACGAGTGAGGGGCTCAGAAAAATCAACACCTTCGTAGAGAGACTCTATTTCGACGCGGACCTGGTGCTGGTTGGAAAGCGAGCGCTTGGCACGCTCAGCCTCTCTTCGGAGCTTTTGCACGGCTTTCACATCCCCTGAAACGTCTTTGCCATGCTTGCGCTTGATAAGTTTCATGAAATATTCCATTATGCGCTGATCGAAATCCTCACCTGTTCATTGAATAAAATTAATTGGTATTCCGTTTTTCTGGCCGCATTCCGGCAAGAGAACAGTGTGTACAGAAAAAGTTCCTACCGCCGAGATGGGTGTCTCCATTCGTCGAGACAACTTCGAACACACCGTTGTCAATGGTGAGTATGGACACGTCAAAAGTGCCCCCTCCTAGATCGAAAACGAGAATGTTCTTCTCTCCTTTCTTGTCGAGACCATACGCAATTGCAGCAGCAGTGGGCTCATTGATTATTCGAGCGACATTCATACCAGATATGGTGCCCGCATCCTTTGTCGCCTGACGCTGCGCATCGTTGAAGTATGCTGAAGAACAAAAGAAAAAAATTAGGCAACTATAATAGAAGTAGCAGGAAAGAGTTGTGGAACCTGGTACAGTTACTACTGCGTTCTTAATTTCTTTCCCGAGGTATGCTTCAGCAGTCTCTTTCATCTTAACGAGGACCATTGCTGAGATTTCCTCAGCTTGAAAAACTTTTTTGCCCTCCTTCAAGTCGACTTCAATGCAAGGCTTGCTGTCCTTGTTCACGACTTTGAAGGGAAACATCTTGACATCACGCTGAACCTCCTTATCTGTAAACCTGGAAATATTTCAAAGATAATTCTGAATATTAAACGTTACCCATCCGATACTAAAGGGGCTGGGCAGGGCAACGTACTTTCGGCCGATTAGCCGCTTCGCATCGAATACAGTGCGTGTTGGATTGGCAGTGGCTTGATTTTTTGCAGCGTCACCAATCAGGCGTTCACTGTCAGTGAAAGCGACGTAAGAAGGCGTGATGCGATTCCCCTGGTCATTGGCAATTATTTCAACTTTGCCGTTTACGTACACACCGACGCAAGAATAGGTGGTGCCCAGATCGATGCCGATAACTGTTCCGAGCTGTTCCGTTGCTTCTTGTCCGTTAGCGGCGCCGACGAGCGTGGCGAGGAAGATGACTGTTGTGAAATAAAGAAAGTGTTCAAGATACTTTTCAGCGACTTGAATGTGATGAATGAATCAACGAAAAGTAGGCACACCAAGGAGCGATCTAGTGACGGCATGCATCATAGCGTCTGTATGTTTACCGAGTCACAATGGCAAGGCCTGCAGCTCTGTCGATCTATAGCGTGCCTGCGAGCCATTATGCAAACAACGCATTCCTAAATGGTTTTCGGTGAAAAGTACCTTGCAGATCAAAACAAACTAGAACAAAAAATATTACGGCGTGAAATTTATATATGAGTAAATGTCGTTTATTTATTTAACCGGCATATTAGGAATTCCGCCATAAGCGTCACCTGTCCACTCAAAATCCGCCGCGTGGCTTATGGGGTTTACAACGGGCACGTGTACACGTACAGTTGTGACTACACGTACTAAAAAGGGCCTATTGTACAACTCATACATGTACAACAGTTGTTTACGTACGAAAGTACGAAAGTACTTCCGTACGAGTACAACTAGTGTACTGTACTGTACAAGTACTGTACGTGTACAGTACAGTGATATCTAAATCTCGCACCTCAAATACCTTCGTACTTCGAAGGTAGCCAGCTAGCCACTACAACGTACGTGTACGTGTACTGTACAACGTTGTACACGTAGCCAGCCCTATGATAGGCCCTAGCTAGAATATGGAAGTACGGAAGTACTTCCGGAAGTACACGTGTACTGTACCAGTACATTTGTACTTTCGTACTTCCATACTTTCGGAAGTACTTTCGTACTTCCGTACAGTACAACGACGTTTATACACGTAACCTTCGTAGTACAGAAGTACGGAAGTAGAATAGAATACACGTATGGAAGTTGTAGTACGTTGTGCTTCACGTACATGTACCGTATGACCACATCAACACTGTACTGTATGACCACATCAACTGATAAATGTTTGAAGTACAGGTACTGTACACGTAGTCACGTACTGTACTTCCGGAAGTACACGTACTATGAAGATAGCCTTAGCTAGCTAGATAGACTACTGTAGATAAATAGTTCAGTACGCGGAAGTAGCTTGCTACACTACTTTTGATAGTGTACAACTGAACATGACTTTCAATTTTCTATACTTTCGTACGAAAGTACTTTCGTACATGACTGCAGCACTACTGCAGCTGTACACGTACACGTAGTACCTTCTGTACACGTACACGTAGTACCTTCGTACGAAAATACTTCCGGAAGTACGGAAGTATCTATGGAAGTACTTTCGTACCTTCGTACGAAGGTACTTTCGTACAACGTTGTACAGTACACGTACGTGTACACGTACAGTGTAGAACTGTAGATTGCTGAACAGAAGTGCTTCCGGAAGTACGTGTACAACGTACATGTACAACGTTGTACGAAAGTACACATAGAATAGCCCTACGCTACAACGTTGTACACGTGCGGAATTCCGGAAGTACCTTCGTACTTCTGTACTTCCGTACACGTGTAGGGCTAGGGCTAAACTACGGGGCACACTAAGAAAAAAATACTACTGTATCCAGCGATTCTTTTGGTTCGATCCAGCGATTCTCGCATTTCCACAGCAAATACCCATACACTACAGCCCTCGTACTACGTCCGCGTACTCCCTGGGTTCAAACTTCAGTCGTTTGAAAGGGGTACCCGCGGGCGTTCGCGCGCTGTTGGAGTCGCGGGAGCGTCACGAACGCCGACGTCGCACGCGAAGAATTTACTCGAAATACCATGATGCTTCGACCCATTCAAAAATATCACACCTCTCACTGTGATAATCACGACGTAATTAGCGCTCGAACAGGGCCGGGGCAACTTTAAACATCGCGTTTTCAGGGAAGGTGGAAAAAAAGTTCTCCTCCTTCAAGAAAGATTTTGCAGAGTCACCCTTGAGACATATAAGCGCCGCTGACTTCGTTTTCTTTACGGGAAGTGGCACAATACTTTTGCTTTAATCGATGCCCCGCGTTGTGACGAAGAACTCTTCTCATTGTAGCGGAGATTGTTACGGCTATTCCGCGACGCTATGGCTGCGCGAACACGCAGACCTCGCGGAGAGGTGTAAAACTGTCAGAACTCTGATCGTAGACGAAAGGGCCACTGAATCGTCAGACCGGTGAAGACGCGACCCTCGGTCAAAGTTGATCGGTCAAGCCGATCAACCGGCGAGTACGCGAGAAGAGTTGGATCGAATGGAAAAAAGAGTCAGATAAAATTTTTTGCGGCACACTAAATATCCCGAATATAACTTGGGCCCATCCACAGGTTACGTATTGGCAATTAGTCAGTGTCACGTTTCTGTCAGGATCTTTCGTATGGGCACTGCAGTCAGAGGCTGGATCCGTTCTGTCGCGTTTTTCCGTATGGGCATTTCAGTCAGCGAGGTCGCGTTCGGAGATATCATTTTTTTCGGCCATTCATGCGATAATATAACACCACATACCGTCACGAAAAAGACATCGTCGGCGCTCAAAGCGCGCGAGGTAGTCTGAAACGGGCTTTACGGAACGAGCTTCTCGACGAGAATCGTACAGTATGGGCATTTCAGTCTGCGGCGCGCTGTCTTCGGAAAAATCATCTCCGAACGCGACCTCGCTGACTGAAATGCCCATACGGAAAAACGCGACAGAGCGGATCCAGCCTCTGACTGCAGTGCCCACACGAAAGATCGTGACAGAAACGTGACACTGACGAATTGCCCATACGTAACCTGTGGATGGGCCCAAGTTATATCCGGGATATTTAGTGTGCCCCCTACACTACAATACACTTACGAGTCCCGTACGTAAATACTTCCGGAAGTATGATACTTCTTCGTTCGAAGGTACGGAAGTAGATACAGTAGTCTATGAATACCTGAAGGTGCAACGTGTACGTGTACACGTACATGTACAGCGTTGGTGTACAGTACATCTGTACAACGTTGTCCAATACGGAAGCACGCGTAACCCTAGCTAGATACAGTAGAATACCTTCGAAGGTACTTTCGAAAGTACTTTCGTACTTTCGAAAGTACCTCCGAAGTACTTTCGTACTACACGTACGTACAACGTTGTAGTATCATAGTGTTGTACACGTAGTTGTACTTCAGGATAAAAACGAGCAAAAAGTGCAACAGGGCCTAGCTAGCTACGAAGGCACTTTCGAGAGTACCTTCGTAGCTAGCTAGCTAGACTACTGTACACGTACACGTACGTGTACACGTACACGCAGCTAGCTAGCTACCTTCGTAGATACTGTACAAGAATAGTTTTAGCTATCAATGTACGAAAGTACTTTCGTACTTTCGTACGAAAGTACAACGTACGAAAGTACTTCCGTACACGTGTAGATAGATAGGATTAGATACGAGTTTAATGTCTCTCTCGTTCTTGAAGAAAGCACAAAAAGTCAAGCACATAAAGTCAATTCAGCTCCGTGGAAGAGAATGTCACGAGCGCCGAGCAGATCACATGACTCTACAACAGCGAGGGACATCACTCATCAGCAGGAACGGTCTTCGTTACAGATGAGCCCCAGGAACTTGGCACCAAAAAGCAAGAGCAAAGAGTTCACGGGTTTCGCTGGTGAAATCCCCCCCCGGTTGCAGCCCTCGGAGGCAAAGAACGTCGCGAAGCGTTCTGAGCAGGGCGGTACACTTTCCAAGAGATCTTCATTGTTCTCATGGCTAGAATACCCCCCAAACTTTGAGAAAGCTACTGAGTGTCGTATTCAGGTGAGCTTGGTTTGCGGAGCACGTTCTAAAAGTTGGCGCACGCGTTCGCTCCTCTCGTTATTTTACGCCGTTTACCCCGAAAGTTGATGTCACTCATCACATCCTGTTCACCCTTTCTGTACAGTCTTTGAAGCAAAAAATCAATATATGTGCTGTGACTGAATCGATCCCCTCCGAGTTGAAGTATACGCTCGCCCGAAACTTTGGATTCTTCTCGTCGATTTTCACACAGTTCTTTGACAGAGATGGTGCAAAAAATGTTCAACATTCCCTTGGCCTCGGGAAATGACAGTATTTGAAGGATGGTGTCCAGAACTCCTGATAGTCGTGTGCCTTGATGCGTTATCTAGTAGCCCTAGATTTTGCGTGATTCATTCACAAATATTCTATTGAAGGCTGCCAAGAAGAAGTGGCTAAAATCCACCGTGGTGCTCAACTATCACCACTTACCTTGACCTTGGTGAGCTACCACCTTCCAGCCATTATTCCTGCCATGCCGACCAAGCCAGCAACAAGGCTGGCAAAGTTTGTAGCGAGCTGTTGATCCTCATAGAATTCCACACCTTTCTGGCCTACACATTGTACCATATCCTTAGTTGTCGCGTTCGGTTCAATACCTTCAGAGATCATCTTCTGATAAAGCTCAATGGCAGTTTCATAACGCGATGAAACGTCAGCTGCTCGAATGAGTTGATTGTAAACATGTACACTTGGTAAGACCCCAAGATCAGACATGCGTAACATGATTTCATGACAGACCGCAAGTTCGCCGCGTGCTGCTGGTGCAAGCATTAGCCCAACGAAAGTATAGTCATCTGGGACCAACTTTTTCTCAAAGACCATTTCTCTAAAGCAAATATTAGCTCGCGTATCCTCACCTCCGTGACCGTATGCAGCTATAAGTGTTGAATATGTCACAGCTGATGGCTTCATGCCTCTGACTAACATGTCATTGTACAAGTTCTCAGCACGAAGCCATTCTCTTTCCTTACCGCAAGCAGAGATAGTGATGTTGTAGTGGATTTCCTTCACCTTCAGTTGTTCAGAGTTGGAAGTGGACTGAGATTCAGCATCTTTCATGAGTAGGTCGTCAAGTAGCGCTACCGCACGCTTCCATTGTCCACATTTCTCGTACACTGCGAGCAGTGTGCTATATGTTCTGCCCGTGGGTGGAGTTCTTGAATTGTCTCGTACCATGGAGTTGTAAAGTGCCTTAGCTTTATGCCAGTCACCACAGTCACCGTACGCCTTCATAGCAGCTGTGCATGTATGCGTAGTACGAGGCAATCTATACGACTCAAAAATTGCTACAGCTGCATCAGGCCTACCACAACGACATGCAGCAATCATAAATTCAGTGTACAGCCGAGCATCTGGCCGCTGCATTATCTTTCTTTCAGTGCTCTCCAGTTGCGACGTTTGCACACTCTCATCCTTCGTATCTTCTGTCGGTGACTGGACGTCAGGACTTGCTGTTTCAGTAAGAAGTGCATCTGTAACTTCTTGGAAACAATGTGCGGGCATAGTGTTCAGTAGAGCAGATTCTACCGCAAACAAAATTCGCTCAGCATTGTTGAACTGACCAAGCACACCATATGCACAAATCAGTGCTGATGCAACAGGGACATCTGGAGAGACACCAATTACACGCATGTCCGAGACCAGTGATGCCGCGGCCACCGCGCCAATGCGACCTCCTCTCGCGCAAACACGAATAAGTGCGGAATATGTGTGTGACGTGGGACAGATACCCTCCTGTTGCATCTCTTCATATACTTTGATGGCTTCCCTCCATTCCCCAGCCGTACCAAGTGCTTGAATGTATGCAGTGTATGTATGTGCCGTAGGAGCACTTCTTTCAGATCCCTGTGCACGCATCCAAGCAAATGTGCATCGCACTCGATCGATGTCACCATTCCTACCAGCGATCGACAACACAGTGGTGGCAATATGAGAGTTTGGAGCCTTTATTGGTTTATCTGCAGGACCACACAGGCCATCAAAGATGTCGAAGACTGCTTGCCACTGTGCGCCTGAACCGATTTTCTGAAGTGTCTCGTTAAGCTCACGCGACGGCATCTGACCACACTTACCTATGAATGCGGAATCGAAGATAGCTTCCCTTGTGGCAGGGCCACTTACAAGTTGTGGTACAGCCCTGGGCGACGACGAGAATATGGACCTTCCGGAAGACTGCCACTCTTTGAAAGAAAGTGCAACGCTAGGGTTGCCCCGCGTCCTATTACAAACGCGAACGTCCAGTGTCCGTGCGCGGAGGTGCAAGTCACGTGTTCGCGTGCAGCCCAGATGTGCAACCCCAAGGCCACAGATTGGAATACCACAGCCTTTCGGCAACAGCACGTGACGCAACTTGTACGGCGGCGATGTGAACACTGCAGTCGATCCTGCGATCCAAACGAGATCGTTCATAACCGATAACGCATTTCTCCGACTTTATATTGAAAATATAGCCAGCTCAACTCTCGTGAAATCGTCTTGCGCAGCCGCGTGAGTAGTTAGAGCTAGCTAAAGGCGCTTCGAACGAAAGCATGAAGCGAAAGTACACTGTACAAAAGGACCAACAGTAAGTCAACTTAGTCCCAACAGTACAACACTACTGTAGCCCTGCCTACCTTCGTACTAATTCGAAGGTCGTACACGTGTACTATGGCCTTAATTATGATAGCTATGTCATAATACCAAGATACCTTCGGTACAGTAGAATAACAACTTATTACGGACGGAAATAGTACGAAAGTACCTTCGTAGGCCCTAGCTAGCTAGCTAGTACGAAGGTAGATATTAGCTACTTTCGAAAGTACATATCTTCAAAGGTACGAAAGTACTTTCGTACTTTCGTACGAAAGTACCTTCGTACGAAGGTATGTAGCTATTTCTAGCTATTCTACAGTAGCTATGATATAATAATAATAATATTAATGATACGGAAGTACTTTCGTACTTCCGTACGAAATAAAGTGCGGAAGTACGTACGTGTACTTCCGGAAGTACTTCCGTACTTCCGTACTTTCGTACTTCCGGAGATAATATAGAATACCTGTACGTGTACACGCACGTGTATGTACTGTACGCACGTGTACTTCCGGAAGTATTCTATCTATTGTACCCGATCGAGGTCTATCTGTAGCTTTCCGTGGACTGAAGTACAGAAGTACTTCCGGAAGTACCTTCGTACGTGTACAGCTGTACCTCCACTGTACACACACTGTACGTAGGTAGGGCTACGAGTATTGGACAGCTGGGCACCTTCGAAGGCATGATACACGTACTTACATGTACACTATGAAGACGGGAAGACCGTTTTCGGACCCGAGAGACCTTTTCAGGGATTTTATTCATTTTTTCTTATTTTTTCTTAAGAAAAAGGTCTCTGAGGGTCCAAAAACTGAGATTTCCCGTCTTTTGCCCGTCAAGGAAACGCTTGAATCTGTTGTTTAAAATCGCAAATGGCCGCTGTGCAAAATTTCAGATCAATCCGAGCTGCGACGGCGCATGGGGAAGCGCGGACGTGTCTGACAGATGCTCATGCGAATTTTGAATAAAAATATCGCAAATTAATTTGGCCGATACGAGTAGTTGTAACTTGTAGAGTACGCGTCTGAATACGATTTTCATTTCTGAGGGCACCTCGTCTATAAATGTACAACGTGGTACTGAAGTACTCTCGAAAGTACTTTCAAGTACTTCCATAGAATACTCCCGGAACTTCCGGAAGTACTTCCGTACCTTGCTACCTTCGCAGGTACTTTCGTACTTCCGTACGACGAATGTATAGAATACTTCCGCAAGGACGTTGACTTCCGTAAGTACTTCGGAAGTACTTCCGTATTTCCTCCGAAGTTACTACCGGAAGTACTTCAGTACTGTATACGGAAGTAATTGTACGAGAAATACAGACTATTCCTATTCGTAAGGATACAACTTCGGTGGTTTGAAAGCTAGCACTCCTTTCAAACGCATGAAAACTTGAAAAAGATCTTGCCTTGAGTTTCCGGACAGTGCGAGAGGGGCGAATCCCCGAGTTCTGGCGCTAGTGTAATAGAAAAGAGAGGATATAGTATACAGTTGCGCGTATTTTACGTAGATATTAATATAAAAATAAGACAAAACAATATCCAGCTGCAATGAACTCAGCTGTGAACCTCACGCGCACAGTGTCAGACTTATGTGTTATATATCTGCAAATTTACACTTTCAACTTTGTGCGAAGCTCAATGCGGGTAAGGATCATATGAAACAAAGTCGTATGGTGGCATAGTCACAGCACACTGATCAATTAGTGCAAGGGTAAGCATCTCTTGGGCGAATGAGTCTTCCGGGCTGAGACCGAGGGCTTTGTGGTAGCAATCAATAGCTTCACCCATGAAACTCTGAAATTCTCCCCTGAGTTGATAAGTAAAACCGAGTGCAGTATATGTGCTAGCAGATAAAGGTGAAATGCTGAGGGCACGCTCATACCACATGATTGCTGCATCAAAGTTACGCAGCTTGCGATGAGTGTGAGCCAAGTTTACAATGGATATCTCCAGCAGATCGGTAGATACTTGCGGAGCAAGTGCCAAGGCTTTCTCAAGATTTGTTGCAGCAGCAACAAAATTCATATTACGGTAACACAAGACTCCAAGCTCATTGTATGTTAGCGGGTCACTGGGGCAAATATCCCGTGCCTTCACACAGAACTGCTCTGCAAGAATTAGATTATTAGTTCGCTGATATTCCATGCCGATACAGAGTAGAGGTAGGTGGCAACCAGGAAACATACGTACCGCCGTACGATACGCTACCAATGCCTGGTCACTTTCATCCTGAGCTGCAAAAGAGTGCCCGAAACCGATCCAAGCAGGGGCAAATGCTTTTTCCAAAGCTGTAGATTTACAAAAATAATGGCGAGCTTCCTCAAACTGCCTGACACAATAATAGTAACACGCCACTGCAAACCAACTCACAGAGTGGTCAGGATACTCCTCGACCAACTTCTGCGCACACAAGTAAAGCTCACTTTTGCGGCGAAGCTCAACAGCAACGCTGAGGAAGCAAGGAATAGCAGAGAGCTGAAAAGGATCTCTCTCGAGAACTTCAGATATGATCTCGTAGCAACCATGGAAATCACCACGACTGTATAGACACTCTGCATTTGCTTGAGCAATGTCACCATTTCCACTTAGGGCAACCAGCTCGGTTTCAAAATCCAAGGTTTTATGAAGTGCAGGTCGAGTTGACAGATGATTTCTTGCTTGCTTGTCTCTGCCATACCATGCTCCAGTCCAGCATGATCTTCGCTTAAAGGTCGTCAGCTCGTTGAGCATCTTAAAACAAAAGCTAGGTTCACCCTCTTCAATGCCCCTTACATTTACAGGATGATATTTCTTGCCCATGGTGACGTATACAAACTTTAGCCATTTGTCACCAGGCTCAATTTGAAGTGAAGCAAGGAGTTCCTGCTCTTCTTCTACCGTCAACATGTGTTGGGAAAGCAGCGCGGCAAGTGCCTCGTAGCAGAAATAGTCAGCTTTGAGTGCTGATACATACCAATGTCGAGCTAGCGATCGATTATCCAACGCATCGTATGCTCTGCCACGGAGTAAACATAACGCTGAGATGGTAGATATAGATCCACGTTTTCTTAAACGTGAATGCGTCTCTGTACGGGTACTGAAACCATTTGCCAGGTCTGCACAAATTATATCGGCTCCTCGATCGCCAGTAATATTCTCCAAGTTTGATGAACAGGGACCTCGCTTCTTGTTCATTTCCTCATCTTCTTCAACGTCTTCCAAATCTCCTCTTCCAAGCACTTTTAGGCATTCTTCCCACTTGTTCATTGCAGCATAGCACTGTGCAGTAAGGTATGTTAAACGAATTCTGGTATCAGATGCATCGCAGCCGTACTCTGTCATGTACTTCCCAGCCGTACACGCTGACGAGGACGTGGCAGATTCTAATCCACTATTTCGAGCTCGTCCTTCAAGCACTCTCGAAGCAAGCCCTTCACGATTCAATAACGTGAGTGCGCGTTGGTAGTGTTTTCCCTCGTAAAGCACCTGAGCATACAGATAGACGTCTTCAGGGTCACGAGAGCCCAGCGAAACTAGCTTATCGGCGAAGAATGTAGCGGAAGTAGTGAGGTGTTTTCCCACGCAGTCCTCCACGACGGCACGCAACTGCTGTAGAGTTTCAGTTTCCATTGCATGGCAGAAAGTGCGGACTCGTTTCTGGGATACGACGAAGGTACCTTCGAAGGTATGATAGACTACGAAGGTACTTTCGTACTTTCGTACGAAAGTACGTACGAAGGTACCTTCGTACGTACCTTGGGTAGTTATGTACGGACTAACGAACGGTATGTACGTACTACTACTGTATGTACATATGTTTTTTATTATAATATGTATGATCGATACAGTACTATCAAGCAATCGCAATAATAGCAAGCAACTTAATACGAAGGTACGAAAGTACAATAGTATTATCATAAAAGTATCATAACAACTTACATATGCACATAAATAATAAGTTGATTTCTTGCTTATGATATTTTGATATCATATCATGCATGCATATTCATATTAAGTACGGAAGTACGAAGATATACGAAAGTATGAAAATTAAGTAACACGTGTACTGTAGTCCTCCAAGTAATTCGAAAAAACCAACAAAAAAACATACTCGTGACTAAAAACACGTACAAAAGTGTACGCGCGGCTTAAAGGGCGTAGAACTTGGCTTGCCTATCAAAACCTAATTTGATACGAAGGTACGGAAGGAAGTACGTTCGTAGGTGATTTGTGCATCAACTTTAGGGTTTTTGGAAACTCAAGGTAGTCCTCTACGTAATTCGAAAAAAACCAGCAAAAAAACGTGCTCGTGACTAAAAACACGTACAAAAGTGTACGCGCGAGCACCCGCGAGCGAAACACTACTCCTTCCTCGAATGAGATCGCGACGATTTTTTTTTTGCACCATCTCGTTTCAGGCAACAACGCCGAACCTTCTATGTTGGCGTTTTTCGCGTTCATGCTCTCTGCCGCGAGTGGGGTACGCGATCTTCGCGAATCGCGATTTCGGGCAAGATCTGCGCTTTCTTCGCGACGCGCGCGAAATTCGAAAAAACGCCAACATAGGATTGTGCGCATGCCTTAGAACTGTCATCATGCAAAGCTTCGCGCGCAGACGAGCATCGCGCGCGGAGGAGTAGTGTTTCGCGCGCGGGTGTTCGCGCGTACACTTTTGTACTTGTATTTCGTCACGAGTACGTTTTTTGCTGGTTTTTTTCGAATTACGTAGAGGACTACGTGTACTCGTACTGTACCTTAATCAGCGCCTCCGGCGCTTCGGCCGTCGGTAGTTGGGAGAAGGGGCCCGGGAGCGTATATACTATTTAGTGAGAAGAGTACGAAAGTTCGTACAGACTAACCTGGTGAAAGGGCCCATATAGACCAGTTGCCCTAAGTGAAAATCGTATGACGCCCAGTCAGCCGCGCAAAAAATTTTATCTGGCTCTTTTTTCCATTCGATCCAGCTCTTCTCGCGTACTCGCGGTTGATCGGCTTGACCTATCAACTTTGACCGAGAGTCGGGTTTTCACCCGTCTGACGATTCAGTGGCCCCTTCGTCTACGATCAGAGTTCTGACAGTTTTACTCCTCTCCGCGAGGTCTGCGTGTTCGCGCGGCCATAGCGTCGCGGAATAGCCGTAACAATCTCCGGTACAGTGAGAAGAGTTCTTCGTCACATCGCGGGGCATCGATTAAAGCAAAAGTATTGTGCCACTTCCCGTAAAGAAAACGAAGTCAGCGGCGCTTATATGTCAAGGACGACTCTGCAAAATATTTCTTGAAGGAGGAGAACTTTTTTTTCCACCTTCCCCTAAAACACGATGTTTAAAGTTGCCCTGTTCGAGAGATGATTACGTCGTGATCATCACAGTGAGAGGTGTGATATTTTTGATTGCGCCGGAGCATCATGGTATTTCGAGTAAATTCTTCGCGTGCGACGTCGGCGTTCGTGACGCTCCCGCGACTCCAACAGCGCGCGAACGCCCGCGGGTACCCCTTTCAAACGACTGAAGTTTGAAACCAGGGAGTACGGGACGTAGTACGAGGGCTGTATCGTATGGGTATTTGCATCGAAAAGCGAGATGAGCTGGATCGAATGGAAAAAAGAGCTGGATAGTATTTTTTTCGTCAGCCGCGTATCGGCCAAATTAACGCCAAATTAATTTGCGATTTTTTTATTCAAAATTCGTATGAGCGTCATGCAGACGCGCCCCCTCACGTCCGCGCTTCCCCATGCGCCGCCGCAGCTTGAATTGACCTGAAACTTTGCACAGCAGCCATTTGCGAATTTAGACACCAGATATATGCATTTGCGCGGCAAGAAAAGTCGGGAAGACCGTTTTCGGACCCCTAGGGAACTTTGCGCGGATACGGAGAATTTGACAAATCGCAAATTAATTTGGCGTCAATTTGGTGACTTAGGGCAACTGGTCTATTTGGTGCTGCAGCCCTTATGCTCATTTCGCGCGTCGAGCGTCGGGGCGTTACGTAGCGCGATGGAGGGCGTGTGGAGGAGGAATGCGCGGGTGGCACGAAGGCGGTGTGTTGTATTACACGTGGTGAAGTGTGGTGCGCGAGCCGTGCCCTTTTCCTTATCCTTTTTTCTTCACGTCGTCGTCTTCGTCGTAGCCGCAAGTGCGCGGCGGGTCGCCCGCGCTTCCCATCGATGTCCGCGCGCGCATTTCCACCACGCCACGTGTTTTGAACCCGCATGACGTCGTCAACTCCGCGGCGATAATCGTCGTACTCCAAAAGAAGGCGCGCGCCCTTCTCGCCGTGTTCCGCACACCACGTTCGGAGAGTCGTCGGAGGTGCGCGACGCGCGCACGCTGGACAACCCGAAGGACGAACACGCCGCGTGCGGTTCTTCATGAAAGCGCGCCATGTGTGTGCTCATGTCTCGCACTTCCATTGCACTTTCCGGTTCGCACCGCGCGTGGACCCTCGCGGGCGCGTTCCCACGCCATCGCCGTGAACGGTATGGCGAGGGCGAACGTACGGGTCTTCGAGCCAACGACGTAGCTCTTCTTCGTCGGGGAGGGGAACGGGGTCCGCGTACTCGCGAAGAAGCCGCGCGCCGTGATCGCCGTTTCGACGGCACCAACTCACGAAGGGCTCCTCCGCGTTCTCGCGCGGCGTGTCGTCGGGATTCCTTGGATATAGCCGCCCCATATATCCGGCGCGCGCGCGCGAAAGTGCCGCTCCCGCGAGGCGTCGTTGTCGTTCGAGGACGACTTCATCGTCACCCCGAGGTGCCTTTCCGCGTAGTACGAAATTCGCGTACTCATTTCAGACTAACAAAGGGTTGGCACTTTGGATACGGGGCGCCAAACGCATTTGCTTGGTTGAAATTAGCGTCCCTTAGGTCGGGGAAAATGCCTAGATGGTGAGAAGGTAAACCTTCTCCCAAATTGACAAAAAAAACACCTCAAAATCACAGGAAAAAACTCACAAAGCGGGGGTTTGATGAAGACACTCCAGAACTTGAAAAATGACCCAAAAAAAAGTCCAATTACCAATTCGTAGCTGAAGGCGGTTGAAAACAGGAATACCCAGTCCCGCCCGAGCCTGACGAAACTGACGATGAATATGACGAGCAGAGTGCGGTAGACCCAAAAATCGCCAATCTGTCAATTTCCCAGATTGGGATTGGCTGCGAATGTTGTACTGTATCCCGCATTCGCCAAAGAAAATTGTTTGAACTGTAGTTGTACTTTCGTACGTGCGTATACGAAGAAAGGCTGTTGTAGCGGTGTACTGTACTGTACACGTGTACACGTACACGGAGGTCTAGTACAGCGTAATTGTTGTACGACTTGCCGTCTGTGCACGATTGACACTCATTTCCAACCTCTGTCTCGTCCGGGGCTGTGCTTCGACGCAGCCTCGTCACATATACTTGAGATTGGAATCGAGAACGGATCTATGGAACGAAATTTAACCTCACGAACGTTCTTCCCTTCTTTGTCCCCAAGGACGGCAAGGTCGGCGAGAAAAACTGCTCCACGCACGAATGCTAGGTATTTTGGTCTTGGGAAAGTGCGCCGTCTTATGGTCAGAGCCCTGGGATCTAAAACTGACCATGGCAATGACGTGAAGGGGGAAGGTATCGATTCAGTCTCGCTCGGTGCACTTGCTGACATCGGCGTCAACCTCCATCAGCTTACAAGGTGAGAGCATATCTCTCAAATTGCAAATTGCCAACTCCTAATTTCTGGTTTGTACCTTATATTTTCAGGGAAGTTGACACGAACAACAAAAGCAGTGAGACAATGTCACTTTGCAAAGAATTTTCGATTGCCGGATATGTGCATGTCTTGAATGGGCGCGGTGGCCTCCCGAAGGTCACACTTTCTCATCCTAGTGGAAGTTGCCTTGATATCTATCTTCTTGGTGCCAACATTTTGTCCTGGACGCTACCTAGTGGTGGTGAGGTTTTCTACACGCCTGATGGCATAGTATTTTCGGAGGAGAATCCAATCGACTGGGGAACTATTTTTTGTTTTCCTCAGTTCGGCGAAGGTGAAGACCGTGGTACCCTAACAGACAAATTCCCCTTGCCGTTTGACGGATTTGCAAAAAGCTTGAGTTGGACAATAACTCAAACTGGCCTCCATGAAGACAAGCACGGTACGTGTCCTTATGTAATCATCGAATTGCATGATTCTGAAGCAACACGTGCGGTCTGGAACCATAGTTTCCACCTAACAATGGAAATAACTTTGGAACATGCTGCTCTGAATGTGTCATTAAGTGTAAAGAACACCAGTAGCAATGATGTCCTTGAGTGTTCTGCCGCCTTCAAGTCTCATGTCGCTGTCATGGATGTTGAAGATTTGTCAACAAACTATATTGGCTTTGATGATTGTATTTTTCTCGACAATACACTTCACCCAACAAAACCGCGAGTCCGTTTCACTGGTGACGAGAGGAAACACGGTTGTTTGAAACTTACTGGGCCCACTGACCGTGTGTACCTCAACACAAAAAATGATACTGGAATTGAGATTGGTTCTGGTTGTACAGTTCTTCTGCGCAATACTTGTCACCTGGGCACAAGCGAATTCAACGACCGTGCCATCTTTAACCCTTGGAATGAATCAGATCCAAAGAACTACCGCTGGTACTCTGGGCTCGCTATTGGAGCAATTGGTAGACTTCTAAGAATAGATCCAGATGATACGCACTCGAGCAGTATTCGACTCGAGGTGAAAGATAACTCACAACAGATTATTTCAACTCTTGAAGAATCGGATCAGAAACTTGCTTCGGATCCCAATTCCAGTTGGCCAAAGTTCAATGTCCCTGCAGAAACTTTACCCAGAGATCTTCAGTGACAAGATACGAAAGTTTTCAATGCTTGTAGTTTTTCTGCCTTCGCCTGGATATGATCCGGATTTATATAAACATTCTCTCTGTGAGACAAATGTGTCATGAACATGATTTATTTTTTAGTGTTCGCTTTCCGATTGAATTTAAAGTTGCAATCAAATTTATTGTTAAGTTTGTTGAGGATTCAAAGTGAAAGTATTTTCTTGAAAGGATAGTGAATTGCCCTACCCCACCGTGCTCTCAACTGCCCACATTCGATCGGTCGATATAACGCGCTGCCACGCGTGCGCATCATCACGCCTCTGCGTGCAGGCGCAGTTAGCGATCATACTGCTACACGGCGGCAACAGCATTGCCAGCAGTTCTCACCACTCGTCGTGTTTGTGTTGAGTTGCGGACAGTCTCCTTCAATTTTCGATCGATTAAACGACGATCAATGAACAATCGAAGTTTATCGCCTTTCAAGTTTCAGGAAAAGAAATACGAGGAGAGTGTCTTGAATTAAAAATGGTCTAAACCGTTGATACTATTTATACTCGTCTGTGCGCTAGATACGATCCTTCCTTTTGCGACCTGTGTATTTGCTATTGCGAGCAGTTTCTTTTCCCTTGAGTTGAGCCTGGGATTTCTTCTTTTCTATCCAAGCCCTCCCTTTATTATCGGGATGCCGTTTGCTCCTACTGTGCGAAACACTACTTATTTTCCTGGAAGGTGAGAGGTTCTTTCGGGCTTTTTTGCGTCCAACGATATTTATACCTGGTTTGTTTAAGAGTTCATCACCAACCAGTCCACAAATGTGTGTGCTCGCCGAAAATTCTGTCGCAGAGCTCTCCGAGCCAGCAGCCAACACCAGGAAATATTTTTTGGCACGGGTTGAATTGGGATAGTCCACGACTAGCCCACCTGAGAAACCAACACGAAGAGCTGAAGTGGTGATCATTTCTACTTGCTCAGCATTGTCAGGATAAAATTGGAGAACTGCTTTGCTGCCACGCTTAAGACAGCGGTACAAGTGGTTGAAAAATGATGCGAGCCGGCGGCGCGGCCGATGGAGAGAGTTATCAGCATTGCAGAGCCATTGAATAGCTGAGATTGAGATGCAACCATCGAAAACACCAGGCCGAAACGGGCAACCATGCCCCATGTCATACTGAACAACACCTCCCAATACTTCGCGCTCCTGTGCAACTTCGAGCATGTTCATGCTGATATCAGTACCTATCCATTCATGGCCAAGTGATGTCAGACGTTCACCGCTAAGCCCCGAACCACAGCCGACGTCAAGCAAAAGGCGCGGAACACCATCGTCAGGAATATTTAGGAGTTCAACTGCTCGCTCTGTTAGCCTTTCTTGAATCTCGACGACACGCGACGAGTGCGTATATTTTCGTGCTTCGACATCGTTGTAAAATATTTGTGGAGGTGCTGTGAATTCGGGACGGCTCATCGGCGTTTTCTTCCACGCGCTAGATTCGATGCTTTCGGTGCTGCGTGAAACTTCAAATCGTGTTGCGAAAGGGCAGCATGTACAGTTGTACAACGTACACGTACAGTACACTTATTGTACAATAAATAAATAAGCAAGTTGATTTTTTTACTGATGAAGTATCATACCTTCGTACATAGTACCTTGTATGCCTTTATGTACATAATGTACGTGTACACGTGTACGAAAGTACGAAAGTACCTACGAAGGTATTTATCCACATTCTATTTCCGAGTACAACGATTGTACACGTACGTGTACACGTACTCAAAAAAAGTCTTCGCCTTCGGCGAGTAAATAAAAATACGTTTAGTGTACAACGTTGTAGCCCTACTGTAGGGCTACAGGTGTAACGCGTTGTACACAAACAACGTTGCACGAGTACCTTCGATCGAAGATAAAATAGTGTACTCTCATACTCAACTACGAAGGTACTTTCGAAAGTACAACGTTGTACACTACTATGATACGTACAGTATGAGATGCATGATAGTTGCATTATTTATTTTTATTTATTAATAGCCAATGTATGTACATCCATACTGTACCTTCGTAATATCCCCTTGCTTGCTTGTGAATAAAAGCTGTATGTACGAAGGTACGAAGGTACTTCCGGAAGTACTTTCGTACAACCTACACGTAAGTGTACACGTACGTGTACACGTGTACACGTAGTGTACTTCCGTACCTTCGAGGTACCGAGCGAGTTCCACGGCGAGTGGAAATACTGGTTTCCTGAGGAAGAATGAAGTAGGCAGAGATTGTTCAAGAAGTAATAATGACATTCATATAACCTGTCCATGCTTTTGACGGGTACTTGTTCAACCGGTGGCTCGGTGGTTTCCGAAGCGCTCCAGACTGACGTCCTTACCGACCTCGAACGAGACGTCAATTTCGTAGTCAAATCGTTTGAGACCGGTTATGAGCCTCGTGACGATTCTTCGTCTCTAACCTCCGGCACGTTCGTTTCAGTGTGCTTCTCCAACCTATTTCAGTTATGAACTTTCTGTCCTAAAAACTTGTACGCGACAGGCTCTTTTTGGATGCCCGTGGAACGCATCTTGAACCCTTTGAACGGCGTTGAACGCGCTATCTCGGTTCTGTCCACGTCGTCTGCTCTTCGGAGCACGGGCATGGTTGCTCAAGAATTTGCAGGTGCAGAGTGGTGGGTTCAAGACGTAGGCCCTGAAGAAAATCCAAAAGGTTTCCATACTGACTGTAACTTCCAAACAAAAACAGGAAATGCCAGAAATGAGAATGTATATCAGGGTAACGCATGTCGTTGCGCAGTCTTCCACCCAACAGTAGCAAGTGTCCTTTACCTTGTAAACAATGGTGGTGCAACAGCAATATTTGGACAGGCAAAGCAGTTTTTTTCAGATTATTCTATCTTGCAGCCGCGGTTGCCTACAGAAGTGTGTATTGTGAACCCAAAGCGTAACAGGGTGCTTGTTTTTGAAGGAGACAGGTATCACGCTGTATTACACCCAGCGTCATCTTATGAGGACAGTTCTTGTCAACGGGTACGGTCGTCACTGGCATTGCCTTAGTTTTTTTGCCACTTTACTCTGCGAAAACTTTCTCAATGCGACTCTGCATATTTTTGTTTGACTCTTGCATATTTCTAATTCAAAATATCCTCAAACAACGTCCTTCTTCTGCTGCCTATGGGACAGATTACTTTTCTCGTCAATTGGTGGAAAAGTAGACCTGATGGAGTTGTTGAACTCCCGAGATGTTTTGTTACAAATAAGAACTTCTTTTCAGATGAACTGTTAGCTTGGAAAATTCCGGGGCATCAACCTCACGGCGTGCACGAAGAGAAAAGACAGAACATTCGTGTTTATTTGACACGAGGTTGCGAAGTGTTTCTCACAGGGGTAAACTTTTTTGATCACATTGAAAGGTGGCAGTCCCAGAAGATGCCGACAGGTTTTGAAGAACTGGTCCGTAGCCGAGTCATACTTCTCAAGTATTCCGGAACTGCACGAGGTTTAGTGAAGAGGGATCACAAAACAATAAGTTCTCTTCTAGAACACATTGAAGGTGAAAATGAATGGCCATACGACCCTATTTCTTTTGGAGAATAGTATTGAGTTGAGTGACTATTGTGCAGCCTTTATGCTCTGAACGATATGTCCAGGTAGTAAAGGGATCCTGAAGTGAGATCTCCGCCGCAAGAGTTGCTTGCATATTGCCACCCTTGTGACACATGATGGATGCCACGGTGACGACGCGACGCGCTCGAAACTATGACGATCGAGGAAACTGCGAGATCTGAAACCGGCCGCCCGATCTAATTTAGGGCAGTGATTCTCGAGTTGGGCGCCGACCACACGCAGAAATTTCAATTTGACCCCTGGTATAGAAAGCAAGCCCGGATGGGAGAAGGTGGTATACCACCTCTCCCAAAGTTCCGAAAGAATAAATCGCACAGGGCACGTTTCTGGAATGCGGAGCACGACTAATTTTGTTTTCTTGAAAGGAAGGAAAAAAAGTTCTTGCATTACTTGAGTCAAGCAAGAAACACAACACGTTCTTCTCTTCAAAATGCGAGATAGTACTTCTTTCCCATGAACCTATAGTGCCGCAGAAAAAATGCCGATTGGCAACTAATACTCTCTAGATGTCGATGCAACTTTTTCTGTTCCGGCTCAGCCCAAACCAGCCTGCACAACACAAATGGGTGACTTATACAATTCTTGCCAAAATCTGGGGGTACGCAGAAATCTCATTGGGGCACCTGAGAAAGAAGCCTTTGCCTCCCTTGTGAGAGAGTATAATGCGCACATTTTATTCGTGCCAAGAACGTGTCGTGAGGAATTTATGACTTGAAGCAAAGTGCCTTTGTTAGATCTCTGACAAACATCTTGGAATTTAGAATAGATGTTCCTCCAAGTGTGACCTGGAAACCCTGGTTTGCCTCATTTACTTGAGCAACATATCTTGCTTCCTCGTACGTCACACCCCCAATTATAAATACTAAAAGATGCTGTGGTGGCTTGGAGTCGCGCAGCTCAAATTCAGTGCTCACACTTGGATATTCATCTCTACTTTTTCCCTTTGCAAATGCTTCAAGCGTCCGAAAGTAGGGATCATCACACCAGAGTACAAAGGTAAAAATGCGTCAATGCCACTGCTAGGAAATAGTGCAGAGGTTAATAAACATGGAAACCAGAAGCTGAGCTCGGATGAGAGCCTAACACACCTGCACTAAGAGGGGTTGATGTTGTGTGTAAACTAGGAAAAGGTCCAAATGAAATAAGCAAAAAGTATTAGACCGGAACAATATTTGCAAGAATCCAAATTTATACAAGGCAAACCACACCATTTTCAGCCCCCTTCAAACCACCAACAAGTTTGGAGGCCCGAGAGAAAAAATTCCCATTTCGAAACAAGTCTCTGCACATAAAAGTCGTCAAATCTAAGGACAGGTGTAAAAAGTTATAAAGTTGTCGTCCTTACCCTGTCCTGTATGTATTACCAGCATACTGCGAAAAATCACAGTTGATTCACGGAATTTCTTGCCAAAAAAAGCTGACACACTTGCCTTCACAATCTCGGTGACTAAGTGTACATGAGAACTTTCGATATTGCGTTGTTGGAGTGCGGACACCATGTTGTTAACCTTGCCAAAAAAATTAGTTCTTATGATCCAGGGGAAGTGAAAAAGGCATACCTGCTTACATCCCGAAGTCTCATACCTCAGAATGAACAGGAGAACGAGCTTCAGACATGCAAAAGAATTTGCCTAAATAGACAACCGGTGAAGGCAAGCAAAAAAAAAGTAAAAATGATAATATGCTACCCGTGGGTTTACTAGTTGTTGCATCACTGAGTTGTATGCATACAACCGATCAGATCTGCTAAGCAAGGAGGCCAACAGGCGCTCATAAAGATTACAAAAACAACCAAAACGAAAGAAATGACCCACCCACAAACAACCTCTTGCTCAACTTGAGAGACTGCTAGAAGATCATTGGAAGAAATGATTTTACTTAACTTACAAGCGCGTCCATACAAAACACAAGATATCAAAAGGGGGACTCAAAGGATATCGCATGACTTGCCTCAGTCAGGATAGTCACGTGCTTAGATACAGCACCAGACTGCACTCGAAATTCAGGGAAGCTTTCAACAAATCTTTGAATATCCTCTATCGACTCAAGATTCTTATTTGACCTCGAGATACTCTGCGCCAAGAAGAGGATTTGAAATAGGAACAAAAAAACTTCTGGACGAAAACATACCTGGAAGTCATCAACAAGTTTTTTGACTGCAAATCCGAGGTCACCTGATGTGGAGTTGTTGATTAATGTAAATAAATTAAGAACAAATAAAGAGGCAACCAAAATTTGAATGCATGTGGCGACTGAAAAATTCATCGTTGCTCGACGATAAGACCAAATCCTGTGGTGCAGTGCAAGAACTTTATTGGAAGAAGCCAGCGAATTTGGCGCAGGAAAGAACCTGACTCTTTCCACATGAGTCAAAAAACAGTACACGGTTATTATTTATACAAAGGAGTTCATGAACCATCGCCTTCAGACAACAAAAGGTGAAAAAAAGGTTAACTGATCATTGTTCAAGCTGACAAGAGTAAGAACACCTGGTATGTCCATTGTGAGAGCAAAGGCGTGACCGGGTCATCTTTGCGATCAAGAATAAGCAAATGAAGACTCCCAGTACCATGCCCATAGTCAAAGAGGGTGGGTTCCTAGGAAATGGAAAATAGTTGGTTTATAAGAACCACGCAGCACAAAACAATTGAGTGAATACCTGCTCACGAGCTAGGCGCCAGACATCATTTGCGACCATTTGAGAAATTTCCGAACCAAAACAAAGGACGTCAGCAGTGCATGCACGTGAGCAAAGAAAGAATAGGTTGAAGTCCTCAGAAAATAAGAAAGGGCACTTAGAACTCTACTGAGATGAGAGCCTACTTCCGTTGATAGCGAATTACTGGCAACTGTTTCAAACTCAATATGGAAGCAGCAAGGCCATCCACTAATGTATCGATAATATTACGCTGATCATTTGCATCCGACAAACCAGCAATCAAACTAGGAGGTGGTTAAAAGAACAATCCGAAGACTTACATCCCTACGAGCTTCTACACTAAAGAACTCGTGGTTTCTTGGTACGTTCAGGGTGAACAGTGTTGGATCAAGAGCAACAAAACAAGCGAACACCTCCTACCAAATGAAGACACCATGAGAAACGGAATATGACCTCAAATGCGCGCGCAAACAGGAGATGACGACGCAAACCTGTATTTGGCTGACAGCTTCTCGTTCATCAGCCTCGGCCAAAGTTTGCATATCAGTCTCTCTCAACAAGTTTGAAAAGTCTGTCAACAATTTATCTTGATATCACCAATCTGTCTTGAGATCACACAGTATGAAGGACAGAATACGTCACTCACAGAGATAGTAATCACCATAAGGATCGGCTTTCAAGATGTCGCAGAGAAGAGTGACATTTTCTCGTGAGGGTCTCACAAAGAAAACCGCCTGTGATAGTTGTTCACGTGGCCTAAAAATCACAAGGACCGGTGTCGATGAGAGCAAAATCGAACCTTCAGGTGATGCATTGCACTTTCAGATGTAGAGTTTATTTTCTCTACAAGGAAAACCTGGCAAGTCGAATGAGATCGTGGAAGCCGATTACGCCTTAAAGCGACATATAAACCTCTCTTTTCAGCAACTCCGTGTGGCTGAAGGCAGCACCAACCACATTAATCTGGGAAAGAAAAATAAAATAAAATAAAAATGAAAAAGTTTTTTTCGTTGATAGTTGGCTAAGAGTATCATCGCACACACCGTGAAGTCGTCAAGTATTAAGGCTTTCATGCCGACTGCTGCTTCACTTAACATTTTTGAAACATATCCTTTTATAATAAGCAACAGGTCCAGGGACATGTTGCATTTCCCGACGGAAAGTTGCGAACTCGAGCAGCGCTTCCAAGTGGAGACAGAGTGCAAGACTACACGAGGCAGGGTATACTAGGTGCTTGTCTGCAGCGATTCAAGAGAAAACGGGTAACACGTGCCGAAAGTGAGAGCACGGTCGCATTACTCACGCTGTGCGTGATGCACGGCTTGCTCTCTTTTTCTGTATGCAACTACGAGTAAGTTGTTCACCTTCGAAAATACTTTCGTACTTTCGTAGTTATATATACGAAGGTACGAAGGTACGAACGAAGGTAATATATTTTCGTACGAAAGTACGAAAGTACAACTTAGATACAGTACTGTAAGTAAGTTGTGATAGAATAAAATAAGAAGGGCGGGGTTTTCCGATTCTAGTAGGCGGTCTATTTTTCACTCACAATTAGCAACCTGACCAAATGCCCATAGGAAAGAAAGATCCGCCCTCGCATTCGTATGGCAAACGGTCAGCATGGGAAGCTTCCGGAGATTTTTTTCGAAGACCGCGCGGCGCAGTCTGAAATACTGTACAGTACACGTACGTGTACCCATACGATTTTCGTCGAGAAGCTCGTCCCGTCAAGCCCGTTTCAGACCACCTCGCGCGCTTTGAGCGCCGACGATGTCTTTTTCTTGACAGTAAGTGGTACTATATTATCAAATGAACGGCGTCATCATGGTGTTGGCATCAATTACTCTCACGATGGCGATGTCATTTGCGACTGTCCCGCGCCGTCATCGTCGTATTCAGCGCGCGGACCCTTCGCGTAAAAAAAAACAAACTTCGACCGAAACCTCCCGAGATGATTTTTTCCATGTCGAGGATTTCACGAGCCGCCCGATCGATTGAGCCTATTGAAAATGATCCCCGCGCATCAAGCTGACCGCGGCGGATTTTCAAAGTTTAGGAAAATATGAGGAAAAAATTCCCCATATTTCCCCATATTTCCCCAAATAGAGACGAGGCAAGCTAGCTAAGTACGAAAGTAGCTATCTAGCTAGCTAGCTAGTACGAAGGTAGCTAGTACGAAGGTACCTTCGTACGAAGGTAGATATTAGCTACGAAGGTACGAAGGTAGCTACTAGCTAGCTAGCTAGTAGATAGCTACCTTCGAAGGTAGCTAATATCTATCTAGCTATCTACCTTCGAAGGTACTTTCGTACTTTCGTACTTCCGTACATACACGTATGTATGGACGTACGTAGCATACGTAGTAATTATTACCTTTGTACATAGTTCGTACTATCTATTATCTACGAAAGTACGAAAGTACAAAGTACTTTCGTAATATCTAGTACGGAAGTACTTTCGGTACCTAGCTAGGCCACCTACCTTCAATGGCAAAAAGGTTGTCAAAGTGTGCGACTCCGCGTCCCCGCATGCAACCTCTAGAGGTGGTGATAAAATCGAAACTAGTTTCAGTGATGTCCATCGCCATGGTTTCATCCCTTCACATACCCATAAACCGTCCTCGCGGCTTCATGTTTTCTCGAAACACTGATATGAGTGCGTCACACTTGCGAGCCGCAGAAACATTAAAAAAAAAGCGTGTCGACAGTGGGTCTTTCTGTTGCAGCTACAGGGCATACTTTCCAACTAAGCCTTTAAAGAAGAGGATTCGAGCGCAGATGTGCATGATTTCTTCATTATCGCCATCTACCTCGGGGCCGCAACCGGACGTCGAGGAAGAAGGATCGGCGCTGGACTTTCCAGAGGTATCAGTATACAAACCCCTCGGCAATATTTTCTTTTTTCTTTTTTAGAAAGGTGCCCTCTGAGTACGGCCCGCTTTCGAACCTCACACCTAAGAGCAAGCGCATCACTTCACCGCGGAAAAATCCTCACGACCGTCCGAAAACCTCTCTGAACTTAACTTACCCAGGAATACGTGCGAGCTGTGCCGAGCCGGCGACCAGATATCTTTCCTGACATGAAGGAGCCGAAACAACCAGTGCCTAAGCCCATGCCCGGCGATCCAGAGTTGCCCGATGAAGAAGAAGAGGAGGCGGAGCGCAAGAAAAAAACTGGTGAGCCAGGGACAGACCCTGAAGAAGAAGAAGAGCAGAGCCCGGCACCTCAAAAACAAGAAGAGGTCGAGTGAGTATTTTGCCTTGAACGTGCATACTCAGCATCGCATGGTTTATTTGCTTGTGATACTGATGTCTTTGGAACATTCCTACAAAATAGCTAAAAAAAGTCAGTTTTTGTTTTACGTTCGTTACACAATGTTGAGTCCCTCATACATCATATGTCAAAAAGGAACTGCTGTAAGAAATATTTTAATGAACAAGAGTATACAAGGGCACAAGCACTGCTATTTTGCTAAACTAGCCCACAAATGCCCGGAGTCACAGGTCTTTGCAAACGGAAATCAACATCACTTCAACCTAAATGAAACTGATGAATCATAAATCAGTTTCACAAGGCGCGCCACTTTTGAAGGTTGAACACCTCGCCACGTGCGTGTTCAACGTTGGCAATGAAGAAGTTAAACAATGTAACTCCTTGGCGTTCACGGCGGCGCGGCGGCGTCCCCAAGAGAACCACTGCCCACCGCCCCTAGCCCTACTTACCCTCTATCAGTCAAACGCTGCTGATATCTTTGAGAACAAAGAATACAATAAGAAGTGCAGGCAAAGTCCGCAATCTTTGGGGACTGGATGGTGCTGATTCATACTGTTTGTGAGAAGAGTATTAATGTATGATATAACATGAAAAAAAGGCGAACAGCAGTTTCTATTCTAGATGGTGAAATCGTTACAGCCTAATCTAGAAGTCACTGTAACTTAAATCTGTGTAGAACCACTTTTGTTAAAGAGTGTACAGGAAAAAAAGGAGATATTCAAGCGAACCTTGTGCAACTTCTCAGCTATCACTGCTGGATTTGCCTTGGCGACGGCATCCCTACCTAAGGCTTTGTAGTCGAAAGTGCAGTTGTGCTTGTTTGAGTGACGGTGACTTGAACAGAAAATATACTCACAGCGGCACCTAAAACCTGTAAACCCAGTACGCTTGTTGCAGGTGTAACATCTGTTAAGAAGACATTGCTCGTCCCGTTTGTTTAACTCTTTGATTTCTGGTTCTCCAACAGCAAAAGGACCGACGTCAATTTTATCCAACTCAGAGTCATCGTCAGTCTCCAGAATCGGGGTGACGATTGGCTGTACGATACGAGAGTTGCTGGTATCAAGGTTGGTTCGGATCTCGGAGTTGTCGCCAGTACAAGAAGTGCGAAGACTGTAGCAAACAGAACACATGTTTGCTGTGTTTTGGTTCCTGCGACCAAGATATACAGAAATCAACGTCGACATTAGGAAGAATGACAGCAAACCAAGAGGAGAGGAGCAAGGAATATACATCATGATCAGCTCAACTTCAAGATTCTGGGAAGAAGATATGCGCACCCGAAAAACCCGCAACCAGCTTCGCAAAGATTCGCTGACAGAGCGTCGCCTTCACTCGCTCTTGCCCGTTCAGCCATTTTTTTACGAGTAGTCTAGCTCGTAAGTCTATCCCTTCTCGACTGTTCCGGTGATATTATAAAAGTGACAGCGTCTTTCTCGCAGTTGCTGGGTTGCAGACCTCAGAGGCTGGTCGTAATTTTTATTCTAAAAATACAGATGGTTGTGGTGTTGTGGTGTACGTTGACAGCTGTACACGCAGGAGTAGTCGGGTACAACGGGTTACGTGAGCGTACGTGTGCAGTAGTACGATCCAATTTGGATAAAAATACAATAGACATCATACGTGTACACGTGTACGTGCACAACGTTGTACTGTAAACAACTTATCATTTATGCGTACTTTTATTTTTATGTACTGTACACGTACAGTACACATAAACAAATTGTACTTTATTTCGTATGTCCGTTTTTTAAGGTATTCTATGATAGTAGTCCTCTACGTAATTCGAAAAAAACCAGTTTTCTACTACCTTGGAAGTTACTTCCGTACACGTGTACTGTAGATAGCTATGATAGATATGATAACTGCTGAAATGACCCTTCGAAGCGACATGACTAAAATTGTACACGTGTACGGAATACGTGAAGTACGGAAGTACTTTCTGTACGAAAGTACGGAAGTACGAAAATACTTTCGTACGAAAGAAAGTACTTTCGTACTTTCGTACTTTCGTACTTCCGTAGCCATAGTACATGAGTCTTACGAGTCGTAGCCCTACGTGTGTAACGTTGTACCTTCGAAGGTACGGAAGTAGAGTGTATACGCGTACACGTGTACGTGTACACGTACCTTTTGGACAAGTTGCCGGGTCCAGCAAGTTGCCGAGGACTCAGAGGTAAGCAACAATGCCCTATTATACACATACTGTATTTACATATGCGGCATATGCGACCACCGCACGATCCCTTTGTACAGCCAACAGTCCCATTTGTCGTCGATACAAGTGAAGATGAAGAGGACGTCAAGATTGCCTTTGCTTCGTACCTGATCCAGCGATACAGTATCATTTTAAAGAAAATTCTTCTGGTGACTACAGTAAAATAGTATTTTCATCTGTTAATAGTTAACATAAGAAATTTCCTTCAGGAGGAAGAAAAGTTATATTCACCAGCCAAGATTTATGTTGAGTGCGTGACGAATCATCAAGACAGCTTCGATCTTTTTGATAATTTTTTTTTCTTCAGCTCCCTTTATCTTTTGTCAGCTGCGCCTCGACTTCTCAACTCACTATTCTCGAAGTCACGCAAAATTCATTCTGTATTGGACAGTGCAGCAGCAATTGCACTTGATGAAATATTTCGGGAGCAGGCTACCCGTATCTCGCTCGAAGGTGCGATTCCGTCCAAGAACTACAACACTAGACGGACAAAGACAGTGGTAAGAGTTGTTCTTGATCTTGAACGTTTCTCGTGTCCTGGGCTGAGCCCTACCCCAACTCAAGTCTCTGCACGTCACGTGGGTCGAGTGCTATCTTTGTCAGGCACTGTATTACGCTTAGGGGGTGTGAAAACTCACGAAGTTGAGTTTCTTGCTGAGTGCACGCGGTGCAGACACCGTTTCCGTGTTGCTGCTGATGATGAATATACTGCAAATGCAGAGATGCCCTCAGTTTGTCCTTCAGTAATAAGCTTGGAGAGCAAGAAGTGCACTGGCACATCTTTTTGCAAAGTTTCAGCCAATACTCCGGTGATACGCGACTATCAGGAAATGTTGATTTGTGACTCAGCCGTTCACAGTGCAACTGCTGCAGGTGCAAGTTGGTTGCCAGCAAGTCTTGCCAGGAGTTCAAAAAAAACAGCCGTAGGTGAAATCTTTGGGTCTAAATCAAGTTCTGTGTCTGATAAGTCACGGTCACTGTTAATCATTCTTGAGGATGGTATGGTCGACAAATGCCACCCTGGGGATGATGTATCCATTACACTCACCGTACATTCCCGCTGGAATATGTGTCACAGCAAACAACGTATGCAACTAGTACTTGTCTGCCGCGCGACAAGTATTCAACTGTTTGAAAAACGAAGATTTGTTCAAAGGAAAGTCAAAATCACGGACATGGCTGCCTTTACCGATTTCTGGAAGACTTACGACATTACAGCAACTTCTACGTCAACTGGCAATTTGATGAAACCTGCAAAATTGCGTGCGCTGCAGGGGAGAGATGTGATCCTGCGAAGCGTATGTCCTCAACTATTTGGTTTAGTTTCTACGAAACTCGCCTGCCTCCTCGCAATAATTGGGGGGGTATCACGTGTTGACTCTAGCAGTACAGCTAATATCCGTGGGGAGAGTCACCTGCTCATTGTAGGTGACTCGGGCACGGGGAAATCACAACTGCTTCGATACATAGCTCAGGCCGCTCCAAGAGCGATCATTACGTCTGGTATGAGCTCCACGGCTGCTGGTCTCACTGTTTCAATTGCAAATGCTGACAGCAGGGCAAACTGCTCAATCGAAGCCGGCGCCCTTGCTCTTGCGGATGGAGGACTTTGCTGTATCGACGAATTTGGCTTCATACGGCCTGGTGAACTCACTGCAATTCATGAGGCAATGGAACAACAGACTCTTTCATTTGCGAAAGGAAGAGTGGTCGCTACGCTGCAGACCCGTTGCGCTGTCGTGGGCGCTTGTAATACAAAAGGTTTTGCACATAGTCTGTCTGCTTCTCTTGTCACGAGTACATCTTTCTCACAGCCACTTCTTTCTCGCTTTGACTGTGTAATGATTCTTTCAGATGATCGGAATGAAGATGCAGATCGCTTGCTTTCGACTCACATGATCTCACTTCACAGCACCGGCACGTCAAATGAACAAATTGGAAAACGAAACTTGCAGACTGAAACAGTTCTGAAAACGGCAAAACTAAAACTGGATTTATTCACGGCGGAACCATCCAGTTCTGAGCATGAGTCGATACGACATGATTTTGAAGACATTAAAGACGACACTGAAGCACGCTCTACTAGACCTAAGTTGTGGCCCCTTGATCGAATTCGGTCCTATATCGCACTTGTGCGTTCTAATATTGATCCGGCTATTTCTACTGAGGCTGAAGCTCTTTTGCGAGGTTATTACCAGATGCAGCGCCGGAAAAAGGAAAACATCTCGGGGCACCCAACCATTCGTTTACTTGAAAGTTTGATTCGTTTGACACAAGCACACGCGCGACTATTGTGGATGGACATGGCGACAGAGCGAGACGTGGTGGTTGCTGTGAGTCTTGTCGAGAATTCGTTCTCTCAGCCGTTAACTTCAAAGTCTGCACAAGATCCCACTCTCTATTTTAGAGGTTTTGTTTCAGACCAGGAAACTCACCAACAGAAGTTGCAACTTCTACAACGAATCAGTGAAGAGCTTGGCCCTACATGGTAATATTTGGTCAAGTGTCGTGATTTTTGTGAAGAAAATTTACTTCCTTTCCCTACCTTGCAAATTTTCGCTCTATCGAACACAACTACAGAGATTTTTATGGCGGACATTTTGTCAGGAGAAATCTGTACCAGCGATGTTAGTTTCGCACGAAAACTTGTTTAAATAATGATAGTGCTACAATACTATAGCTCTAAAGTACTGTAGGGCTGCCGGTATTCTTTTTAGGGACACCGCAAAATACCCTTCTTATACTAAGCAGCTTCAGCTGTCGAGCCAGGGACAAGTATATGTTTCAGCTGCCCTGACTTGTACAAATCTTCAATAATATCATGCCCCCCTAGAAGACTTCCTCGGTAGTAAACTTGAGGTATGGTTGGCCAGTCACTAAAGTCCTTCAAGACGTTGCGGAGGTTGTGGTTGTGGCGCTCATCAAGTGTATCAACAGTTTCGAAGTCAACAGATAATTCTTCTAGTATTGCACACACTCGGTATGAAAAGCCACATTCTGGTTCCTTTCTGAAGTAGAGATCCCCTTACGCCACAGAACATATTGCCGTGTACGAACGAAACAAATAGACAGAGTTATACAAAAGGAAGAAGGCATTTAACACTTATTTGTCCCCACCTTGTCCCCTTAATGAACGCAACAATGTTATAAGACTCAACTATTTCTCTGCATAACTGGAAAACCGTGCTGTCGTTGACCTGGCTGTTGACACCGTTCGTAAGCAATATATTAATCTTTGGCGGAAGGTGTTTTCTTCGAGACCACTGCGAGTTCCCTCTAACATTGCCTGGCGGAAGAAGACCTCCACTAACTGCAAGGTGTTCTTGCATCCATTGTTTCCACAACAGTTGCAAGTCAGCCTTCGTTGCACGAGGGATAGCTGCAAACCGCAGAAACCCGCAGTAACGAGGCATTTCATATTTATGTAGCTTCACGCTCGAAGATATCTTCCGTGAAATGCCAATATACTGAATCTCCATGGTGGTGTTATAGACAGCATATATACCAGGGTGTTCAGGGAAGATCACCTGACTAAAATCAGCAGCACTGAGCGCAGTGGCTCAAGCGCGGGGGTAGTTGAGAACATCGAAAGGATTTAAGTATGGGAAATTCGAACACAAATATTCCCGGAGTGTGTGCTCTCAATTTCATGTGCGCACCTCAACGAGACGATAGGAATTATTGACGAACCTTGATACTGCAGCTGGTCGCCTGTTGCCGAGCGAACTTTCCACGAATATGAGGGTAAATGGACTACTCTGCAACCTCGACAAAAACGTGTATTCCGCGGAACTGGACATCGATGAAGTGCGGTCGCGACGCTAAAATCGGAGGATATTGTTGTCATCAGGAAATAGCCCGAGCAAAAGCTTCGGGCGCAATTTATCCGCGCGAGACTATTACTGTTCTCTCTGGCACGCACATACAGTACACGTAAAGTTGTATAATTTGTCGATATGTACAGTATGATGATAAACGCATGAATGTATCACACGGAAGTAAGTTGACAACTTATTACCTTACTGTAGTTCTAGGTACCTTCGTTCGTACTTTCGTACTTTATTTCGTACTCTACCTTCGTATGTAGATATGTACTTTCGAAAGTACACGTACCTTCGAAGGTACCAGCTAGCAGGGATAGTTTAAAGTTTACTTAGTTTTTCGAAAGTATGATACTTTCGTATTTATTTGTGCGGGTCGGGCGAAATTAGACCGTCGATTGTGAGTTAAAACTGCAGTACTTTGAAATACTTATTTATTTATTTTTTTTCCGGCAGTCATGTAAGTTGACAACTTATTACTAAGTGTCGAAATTTTAGTAATTTATCCCCTGCTATGTACTTTCGTACGTACGTAGATAGATTTATTTGTGCATTCTTGTATCATACGAAGGTACAATAATGTACAACGCGCGTTACTTTCGAGATTACTTTCTATTCCGTACGTAGCTACGTACGTAGCTACGTACGCAGCACGGAAAAAGATATCGATTCTTCCGGAAGTACTTTCGTACTTCCGTACTTCCGTATGTACAGTACGTACAAGTACACCTGATATCTTCGTATGTATGTAGCAGTTATGTAGATATGTACTTTCGTACGAAGGTACTTCCGGAAGTACCTTCGAAGGTACGAAAGTACGAAAGTACGTGTACTTCCGGAAGTAGCTATTAAAGTCCATTGTATTTCAACGTATCCTATTCAATGAAAAAACGTTGTACACGTATGGAAGTACAACTATCCTAGCTAGACTAGACACTGAATAGACATACAATGTATATGATGTACGAAAGCAACTTACTTCCGTACTTCCGTACATAATATTCTCTTCGAAGGTACGGAAGTACTAGGGCCTACTGTACAGTACGTGTAGTTGTACACGTGTACTTCATAATATGATTTTTATAATCTACCTTCGTATCCGTTATCAACCTTCGAAACTCCTTCGAAGGTACACTATGAATATTGGACACGTACTGTAGGGCTAACGCGGTGCTGCGACGTGTACAATATCTATTTGAATAGAATAAAATCTTCGTACGTACTTCCGGAAGTACCTTCGCATTATTCTACTGTACATACTGTAGCTCTTTACACGTAGTCTATCTCTATCACTATTTATCTCCGGGAATACTTCCGGAAGTACAACTAGGGCCTACACGTGTACATGTACATGTTTGGACGAATAATTTATTAGGGCGATGATAAAATAAAAATAAGTTGCTTGTTTATAATAAAGTACAACTAGACAACGTGCACGACTCGTATACATAAAAATATGTACATCCGGAACTGCAATGGTAGACTACACGTAGGGATATTTTTTTACAAATAGTCTAGAAGTCTACTATCTTCGTACGGAAATATACTTCCGGAAGTACGAAAGTACTTCGGAAGTACTTTCGTACTTTCGTACTTCCATAGTGTAAAGCCTGTACACTGCACAGTATCGGTTGGCCACAAGATTTGGACCTTCTAGTCTACTACTTTCGTACTTCCGAAGGCACAACTTCACCGCGTCACATGCACAGTAGGGCGGATGTAGTTTATACATTTGTAAGTTGTTACGAGCGTGTAATTTTTAATAGGGCTACAGTACAACATATCCGATGCCATTATTAAAATACAGTACAGTACACGTACAGTACACTATGTATTCAAACGTATGTATGTAGCTATTCATCTTGTACAAAAATACTTAATAAGTTGGTTTTGGATATAAAATACTACTTTCGTATAAACAACTTAATAAAAAACTGTATATTATGATAAGTGCAGCTAGCGGCTTGCTATAACAGCTTTATCATATTATTTATATTTATAAGAAAGGTGTTTGTACACAATGTATGATATAAATCAACTTACTGTATTAAAAGTGTACTGTATGGACATGTGAACTTAATAAAAATATTACAATATCATAATAAAGTTGACAACTTATTATTACACGTACTGTACGTGTACATAGGTAGGGCTATTATTATTATTTCAGTTATTATTTCCATCAGCGGCGGTCTTGAATCCAAACACTACAGTACGTGTACACGTAACGGTGTGTACGTGTACAGCTGTGCACGTACACGTACACATAATTACCAACTATTTTCTGCAACGTGACTACTGTACAGTCTGTACACGTACGAAGAAACGAATTAGAGATCGCAAACGTGTACAGTACGCTGTACACATAAATAGAGAGGGCTAGTTAGAAACCGTGTAGCTACCTAGCTAGCTAGTCACTTTTCGGTCGAAGTTTTTTATTCTGCCTGTTGAGCGTGTTCCTCACAGCGCCGAAAATGGAGGCGCATATTGCTGTCAGTAGAAATCAACACTTTCCAGTGCAATTAAGCGACCCTACTGACTCAGTTGAGCGCGCTCATCGAGCCGGCGATGCACTGCAAGTCAACCCATTCACGCACAGGCCGTACTCCGAAAAGTACTTCGACATTCTAAAAAAACGAAAGGATCTTCCTGTGTGGCAGCAACAGAAAGATTTCGTAAACATACTCAAAAAAAGTCAGACTCTCATTCTTGTGGGAGAAACAGGTTCCGGAAAGACAACACAAGTTCCCCAGTTTGTTGTTGATGCAGGCTACACTGTGAATGGTAAGCTCTGTGTCTGTACACAGCCTCGCCGAGTCGCGGCAATGTCAGTTGCTCGTCGTGTTGCCGAAGAGATGGATGTCAGCATCGGGCATGAAGTTGGGTATTCTATTCGATTTGAAGAGGTCACAGGGCCAAAAACTTTACTTAAATACTCTACCGATGGAATGCTCCTTCGCGAGGCGATGACGGACCCTTTACTCCGTCGTTACAGTGTTATCATAATTGACGAGGCCCACGAGCGAACACTCGCTACAGACATACTTTTTGGACTTCTCAAGGAAGTCCTTCTCAAACGAAGGGATCTGAAAGTCGTGGTTATGTCTGCTACACTTGAAGCTCAAAAATTTCAAGGATACTTCTTGGATGCACCTTTGATGCAGGTGCCGGGAAGACTACACCCAGTAGAGATTTTTTACACCGAGAATCCTGAGCGTGACTACTTAGAGGCTACAATCCGCACGGCAGTTCAGATTCATGCATGTGAGCCTCCTGGAGACATTCTTGTATTTCTTACAGGAGAGGAAGAGATAGAGGATGCCTGCATGAAAATTAAACGCGAGGTTTCAAACATGGGGGACAGAGTTGGTGACATCATGGTCGTCCCGTTATATGCCAGTCTTCCCCCTCAGCAACAGCAACGTGTGTTTGATGTTGCACCATCATCGCGTAATACACGAACAAGCCGCAAAATAGTTATATCAACCAATATCGCGGAGACCTCCCTCACTATCGATGGAGTTGTATATGTGATTGACCCTGGGTTTGCCAAGCAAAAGGTTTACAATCCACGCATTCGGGTGGAGTCTCTTCTTGTGTCGCCAATCAGTAGAGCATCAGCACATCAGCGAGCAGGCCGCGCCGGACGGACGTGCCCGGGAAAGTGTTTCCGCCTATATACAGAGACTTCCTTCAAACGTGACTTACAGGAGCAAACATACCCCGAGATACTGCGTTCGAATCTTGGCTCCGTGGTTTTGCAACTAAAGAAGCTTGGGATTGATGACTTGGTTCATTTTGATTTCATGGCAAGGATAATCTTGAATATACTTTTTAAACGGAAAAAATAGATAGTTCTTCTGGTTTTGTTCTTTTGGTAGAGCCTGGTCTGCTTTTTTTAAAATGTATTTTTACTGTTGAGCCCTATGGCAAGGACCCCCCCGCCCCAGAAACTTTAATGAGGGCACTAGAACTTCTGAACTATCTTGACGCACTTGATGACGAAGGAAATCTTTCACAGGTGGGATTTGTAATGAGCGAGTTTCCTCTGGATCCGCAGCTTTCAAAAATGTTGTGTGCATCACCTCAATTCAACTGTAGCAACGAGATACTGTCTATCGTTTCGATGCTATCTGTGCCGAATCCGTTTGTTCGTCCTCGGGACCAGCAGTTCGAGGCCGACGAAGCTAGGTCTCAATTTTGCCACATAGATGGCGATCATCTCACTTTGCTTAATGCGTACCATGCTTTTAAACAGAATGGCGGAGATACAGGATGGTGTCACAAGAATTATCTTAACATGCGTTCATTGAAATCAGCTGATAATGTCCGAACTCAACTTGTCCGCCTTGTCTCTCGCCACAATATAGCGGTGGTATCCTCAGACTTCACTAGCAAAGATTATTACCTTAACATTCGAAAAGCAGTTTTGTCAGGATATTTCATGCAAGTAGCACACCTCGAGCGAAGCGGGCATTACCTTACTGTGAAAGATAATCAGTTGGTTTCATTACACCCTTCAACTTGTTTACAGCAAAAACCAGAGTGGGTGCTCTACAATGAATTTGTGCTAACGACGAAAAATTACATCCGAGTTTGCACTGAGATTAAGGGAAACTGGCTTTTAGATATCGCTTCTCATTACTACGACTTATCCAATTTCCCAGAGTGCGAGGCCCGACGGGTTCTGGAGCGCCTGTGCTCTTGAAGGAACATATTTAGACAGAGTGTGGCTAGCAGATTTTGAGTGTATCGACGCGTCGCGGAATTGCGAATCATTCTCACCGGCGACGGTGGCTTCAGTGACGATCCCATGATGCCAGCGGCGCGAGAACGTGCTCGAATCCCCCTTTCAAAAGCTCAAAGTTTAATAAACAGAGCACGCGCGTACAGACTATGATGCTGTATCACATTCTGGAAATTTGCATTGAATTAGGCCTTGTAGGTGATAGGTGAAAGTATGTACATCTAAAAAAAATACTTTTCTCTCTCGGAGCCCGTCCAGTTCAGTTGTTTTCCAGGGGAGCACCCGGTTGTGCGGGCTTGTTTGATAGGCGTAACAAACCTGTCAAGAAGAGGGGATTTATAACGGGGTAAGTGCAATGATAATACCTTTGTAGCCCTGGCTAGCTAGGGCCTGAAGCCCTGTTCTGTACCTTAGACTAGCTAGATACTAGCCCTGGTATGATAAATTCACGATTTTTTTATTGTACATGTACACGTGTACGTGTGGTAGTAGTACGTGTACTTCTGAGTTATAATTTTACCCTCGTTTTATTAATAGTCTATGATAGTCTAGCTAAGGACCTTCGTAGCTATCATGCATGCATGACTCATGCATGCATACATGCGTGCAATGCATTACATGCGTACTCCGGAAGTACATAGGTACATGGTACGAAGGTAAACATCTACATACTGTAAGTTGTTATCATAACGCGGTACTTCCAGAAGAACATATAAATAGTTCTAAATAAAGCTACATAAAAAGGTGCGTTTAATTCATTTCTATGGCTAGCTATGTACATAGCTACATACTACCTTCGAAGGTACATAACTACATATGTAGTTATGTACATATCTACCTTAGGTACATACCTTCGAAGGTACTACGTACATACCTACATAGTGAACTTCCGGAGGTACTTACGTACGGAAGTACAACTTAGGCTGCCTATTAAACCACTTAAAAACTTAAATTGTGGGTACAAATAATGGGCTATCGCTTGATCGACCATTCAAACTTGTACCTTCGTATGAATATTTCCATTGAGTGTTCGCCCGTATATCAGTCAGTTACACGTATTCGCTTGCCTTCGGTCGTCTGGCTATTTCATCACGATTTACGGACATAAATATACAGTAAATCATGAAATTTTGAAATGCAACAATATAAAAAAGGTCATGATGCGGTAATTTAAAATTTCCATACCAAACGTAAGTTTACTTACCTTAAGTACGAGAAATTTGCATTTGTAAAAACGTATTTTCGTGTGCGCCAACGCCGTGTCGCGGCGTCGATCGATTTGAAACTTCGTCACGATGTTGTGCATATATAGCTTTTGATGTCCTACTCGAGAGTTTTTGCAATTTCAAAGAAGATCGTAAAAGCGGTCTTCCGATCCTTCACCGACTTTTATAGCGCACGAAAGTACTTTCGTACTTCCGTACGTTTTTTTAAAAAACCCAGAATGCGCATGCAAATTTTATTCAAACTTTTTATAATTTCACATACTGTATGAAGCTATGAACAGTCAGTCACGAGAGAAAGCTCATAATCCGTCACAAACGATAAAGTGCCCCGAACTTGAATAAGTGAAGTTGTGTTGCGGAACGGGGGTTATTCTTCTTCAACGGTTTGAACTTCAAGTCACAAAGAATACGCGAACGTTCGAGGAAAGCCTATGGTACTCAGTGCTGTCAACGGCATCCTCTTGGAGTGTGACGTGTCCACCCAGATATTCTTGTTCAAAGTGAACGACAAGCGATTACCGTCAGAGCGCTTCATAATCCAGATGCTCGATGCCACCCATGTTCTTGTTCAAAGAAATTTATTGGCTCAAGTCGAAGACCACGTAAAACAGTTTCGGTAGCTTTCTCATTTCATCCCCGAGTTCGGAAAAACGACTGCAACAAAGCATGGTTGAGTTTGGATTGGGAATCGATCATGCTTTTGACCTAGTGAATGGTATTTTGGGCGCCATTCTAATCCTTACAGTGGATAGCCTGGAAACGATGTTCGGTGTCACTGATCTCTGATATTCAAAACAATTGAGAGCGTGTAACGAAGAGTTTTCCACGCAAGTCAAGAAGAGATATCCTGAATATGATCTTCAGCTCTGAATTCCATTTCGAATCTGGTGATGAGTTTCAAAGTGTTGACTGCTCAAAACAATCGTATTGTAAGATTCTTTAGCTTTGAGTGAAGACAGTGGAATTGCCGAATATGACACTAAGACTGAATAGTCAAATCAAACTCGCCTATTCTGGAAGGCAGTTGACAAGTCTCGGTCCGGTATATAGCATGTGCTTCTCTTACGATCTTTCAGAGTGAATAAAATGTACGTCAGGTTACTGTTTATACGATCTTTCCGTGTTATGGCAGTGTATTTACTACGGATATCGGATTGCACTGCTGGCTATGCTCTAGAAGCAGATGTGATTCCGACCACGCACGTTTCAGCGTGTGCTGCCGATTCTTAGTCCAAGTCCGGAAGTCTTGCCACGACAACCTCGTCAGGGTTGATCCGTACAAATGCTGAAACATGTAGTGAACCAAGTGAACCATCTGCTCCCTCAAGCCATTCAGCAACTGTTTTTTTGTCATTTAGCACAAACTTTTGCTTTACCAAGCAGGTCTCCTCGTAGAACTTCGCCATCCGTCCATCGAGGATCTTTTCGAAAAGCTTCGTAGGTTTGCCTTGATCTGCAAGTTGTGACCTCATCAGTGACAGTTCCCTGTCCAAAACTTCAAGAGGTACACTGCTAGGTTCAAGGAAATAAGGTCTGGCAGCGACGACGTGCATTGCGACTTTGTTTGCGACAGCAACAGACGTGGTACTTGCATTCCCGCCTTTTAACTTCACCAGGGCCGCTTGCCTTCCTAGTCCATGGTTGATGCTTCCATGGACATATATACCAATTACTTCATCTGCAGGCTTCGAACCGTTCGTAATATTGTCCTTGAACAACACGCAAGCTTTGCGCAGGCAAATATTTTCACGCAAACTCATTGCCGCTGTCGCCAAAGCCTCGCCAACATGTTCGTTATCGTTCACCGGTAGTGTCTCTAGGTCACTCGGAGACAGCTCGATGACAGAACCCGCAGATTTGCGAGTAATCTTCGGTACTGATGCCATTTCTACCGCAGCTAAAACTTTTTTGACAAGATTTTGAAAGATGTCACTACGAGAAACGAAGTCTGTCTCAGTATTGATTTCAACTGCTGCAGCAAACCTGTTGCATTCTGAAATCTTAACGCCCACAAGTCCCTCAGTAGCTTCGCGTCCCGCCTTTTTTCTGTTCGCTGCCAGCCCACATTTTCGCAACTCGACGAGCGCAGTCTTCACGTTGTAACCTGTGGCAGTAAGCGCTTTTTTAATGTCCATAAGCGGGGCACCAGTCTTCTTGCGTAACTGTGAAATATACATTAATTTAATTAAGTGACAGTCTCCATGTGTCTCAACTCAGCTTATTCAATACATCTCGTAGGAATCAAAAGAGGTATTCAAGCGACGCGTCTCACGGGAAGATGCGCACCTCCTTTATCGCATCTAGTTCACCAGTATTGCAGGTCTTTGTTCGTGCGAAAAAGAACTGAGCGAGCTTCACGGCATTGCCACTGCCAGACACTTTGTCAAAATATTTTGACGTGAAAGACATTGCTGTAGCGCTTCGACTCTTTTCACGACGGATGGGTGCAGTATTACTTTTAGAAAAAGTCTAGGGTCCGCTTTACGAAGGTATTCTGGATTTCAACCAGGTGTGGAGCTGTGGACACCTTAAGGTCACGCTCCGGTATAAATCAAATTTCCCGTGCCAAAAGTACGAAATTTATATGGCGTATTCAGTATAAGTCGCTAAAACGTACTTTCGTGCGCGCCCACGCGCCGTCGCAGTGCTGATTGATTTAAAACTTAGTCACGATGGTGTCCATCACGCAGCTTATGCCCTCTCAAAGTTTCGCGATTTAAGAAGTTCGAGATAATGTACTGTAGTACGAAAGCACTTTCGTACTTCCGTACGTGCTACTATGATATTGTAGTTTTGTAGGGCTATCGTCTTGAAACGCGTAGTCGCGTACACTACGTATGTAGCTATGTACTTTCGTACGAAAGTAGTCTTTCGTACTACGAACCTTCAACATACGTAGTAAGCTACACGTAGTTACAACACTGTTACGAAGGTACAACGTTGTACGTGTACAGATGCACCTTCGAAGGTTGTTGTACTTTCGTACGAAAGTACTTTCGAAAGTACTTCCGTACTTCCGGAAGTACTTCCGTACACCATAGGCAGGTGTATGTGTAGCATGTAGCCGGGCTAGAATGTAGGGCTACAGAAGTACTTTCGTACGAAAGTACGGAAGTACGACGACTCTTCAATATGAAGATATTCTATTCCGGAAGTATCATACTGTACATACGAAAGTACGAAAGTAAGTTGCAACTTACTTTCGTACCTTCGAAGATAGAATACTTTCGTACGAAAGTACGAAAGTACGAAAGTACTTCCGAAGTACGGAAGTACCTTCGTACGAAAGTAGTACGAAAGTACGTACGAAAGTAATCTATTTTCGTACGTGTACGTGTACTTTGAAAGTACTTTCGTACTTTCGTACGTTTTATTTATTTATTTACGAAAGATTAACTTCTTCTATTTTCGAAAGTAATAACAACTTACCTTCGTACACGTACACGTGTACGTCGTAGGGCTACAACGACTTGGTACAATAAAAATCTTCATTATTCTCTCCTTCCCTTTTGCCCGCAGTTCCGATCGTGCAGTAGTTCCGATCGTATGTTTTCCAACTGGTTTGGAGCCAATAACATTCATGAAGTTCCGCCATCCAGCAGGTAAAAATGTTTTCAGTGTATACTCTCACGCAGCTATCTTCGCAATAAGCGTCGCCTTCCACTACTAAGAGTCGTGCTCTCTCCTGTTCAGCTCCTCGCTTTGTTTGGGCTAGTTTTTCTTCACTCGGCATCGACACTATTCTTTGACGACAAGTTTTTTTGAGCGCAGCATATTTCATGAGTTTCCTCACCCCGAAAACTGGAGGGAGGTAGTAGATGAACTCTACTCCCGCTTTGGCTCGGAAGGCGAGGGAATTCCTCTCAGCATGTGCCCGTGTGGAAATCGTAAAGCCACGGCTCGCCGCTTCCTTGTTGCACGCAAATACAAAGTAGACGAGGCAGAAAAAATGCTCCGGGATACTTTGCACTGGCGTCAGACAGTAAGTGTAGGTGATGTAGTAGGGGTCGACAGCATTTTGAAGGCCAAACCGCGATGGGATTTGCTGAGTGACAGCCGAAAGATAATTCCGTCCACACCATTCCACTGCTATTCAAAACAGGGCTTCCCTGTTTATGTGCTAAGACTTGGTCAGGGTGACGGCAGTCTCGCAGCGAGCACCGCAGAGGAATGTCACGTGTATAGCTCAATAATTCGCGGCGAACATCTCACGAGGTCCATCATACCTGATGCCCATAAAAGAGGTCTCTTACAGAATTTAACGAAGGGTAGTTCTGCAGGTGTAACAACCCCGAAACTTGAAAGATTGTCTCACGAGGATTTGGACAGTGAAACAACTATAGATATCACAGACAATATGGAAATTTTGGATAAACAGGTTGTCCTTGTCGACCTTGACGGCGTCGGCATGTCTGCCTTGCGCTGTTTGTATGTGTTCAAGACAATTAACTCAGTTGCAGCCTACAATTATCCAGAGCTATCTAAAGCTATTTATGTGCTTAACACTCCTTCTGTGTTCGATTACATATGGGCAGCTATTAAACCCATTCTCGCACCTCATACCCAAAGCAAAATAAAAATATTTCAAGCTGGCTCCGACCAGTACAGTGCTCTGCAACAAATTATTGAAGACGATGATATACCAGACTTCTTAACACCACAGGTTCCTGGGGATCCTTTGAGGGGGAAAGCTGGTTGTGTCACTGGCTCAGAGCTTCCAAGTTTCAGGCCCTCTGGTGTTGTGTCACTGGACACATGGATCGAGTCACAATCGGACGACCCTGACAAATCCTGTCCGTTTTGAGTCCCCTACGTAAGAAATTTTGAGAGAAGTTGAAGCTATGTTTCTGTCGTCCTGTTTCGAGCAAGGGAAATATTTTTACAGTGACTTGCTTTGTTTTGTATCTCTGTGCTGCTACTGACAGACGGAGTGGTCACTTTTGTGTACTGTAGACGAAAGCTCACGGCATATATTTTCAGCTCATTAATACAAATGAGATTGATTTTGTGTATCCTGTTGATTCTTCGCACAAAAGTATGGTTTTTCTCTAGGTGAACCTGTTACAGAAAAGATGTACTCTACGGCTGTTGCACAGTCTACATAGAAGGTGTTGAGGAACTTCTGCACGATCCGATCTACGAACCAGAATATATGAATTGAAATACATCTAGGAAGGATCTGCACGTTAAACGCACTAATGTTCTGTTTACACACATTTGAGGACCTCTGGAACAAATACTTACGAAACCTGCTTCGCGAGCTCATCGGCCTTAGTTATAACTTCATTGATATCACCTACCATGTAGAAGGCCATTTCAGGGAGATCATCATACTGACCACCTAGGAGACCTTTGAAGCCAGAGATGGTATCTTTAAGGTCAACATACTTTCCCGGGGTTCCAGTGAACACCTCTGCCACATGAAAAGGTTGCGACAGAAAACGTTGGACCTTACGAGCACGGGAAACTGTCATTTTGTCTTCTTCTGATAGTTCATCCATGCCGAGAATCGCAATGATATCCTGTAAATTTTTATAATCTTGTAAAACTTTTTGAACACCACGTGCAGTAGCGTAGTGCTCATCTCCAAGTGCAAGTGGAGAGAGCATGCGTGAAGTCGAGTCAAGGGGGTCAACTGCAGGATAGATGCCAAGTTCAGCAATTCCACGAGATAAGACTGTTGTGGCGTCAAGGTGGGCAAACGTTGTCGCAGGTGCGGGATCCGTCAAGTCATCCGCGGGCACATAGATAGCCTGCACGGAAGTGATCGAACCTTTCATGGTGGTGGTAATGCGCTCTTGTAGGCCACCAAGATCGGTTGCCAGAGTAGGTTGATAGCCAACAGCAGACGGAATACGCCCAAGTAGTGCTGATACCTCGGAGTTTGCCTGTGTAAATCTGAAGATGTTGTCAACGAACAGGAGGACATCTTGGCCTTCAAAGTCACGGAAATACTCTGCGACCGTGAGCCCTGTGAGGCCAACGCGGGCACGGGCACCGGGTGGCTCGTTCATTTGACCATACACTAAAGTGCACTTCGAATCACTTGCTTGAGCGCCAAGTTTAATTACGCCACCTTCAATCATTTCGTGGTAAAGATCATTCCCTTCGCGTGTGCGCTCACCAACTCCAGCAAAGACAGAAAACCCGCCTGTAAAAAAAAAAGACTGAGTATTGAGTGCTGCTTAAGTCAGTGAGGTCTGTCGCTTGTCGAGAACATACCGTGACCCTTCGCAATATTATTGATAAGCTCCATGATAAAAACAGTCTTCCCGACCCCTGCACCCCCGAACAGACCAATTTTACCACCTTTCTGGTACGGGGCTAGCAGGTCAACTACCTGCAGTGGGTGGGTCTCTTCAAAAGCCGAAAGAGGTGACGGAAAAGGGCTGTGAAGCTATCCGAAAAGATTCAGGGAGAAAGCGCGCTCGCTCACCTTAATGCCCGTAACGAGCATCTCCATTTCGGTACTTTGATCCACGAAAGGTGGTGCTTCGCGGTGGATTGCCAGCGACGACGCGGTTTCTGAAAACGAAAGAAAAAGCCGAGATGAGAATGAAATTGGCGATTGGCGCAGGAAGCATCATGTCCGCACAAAATATGGAAATGCGAACATACCAATTGGCCCGCATTCGTCAATGGGCTCACCAATTACATTCATAATTCGACCAAGAGTAGCGCGGCCAACCGGAACCTGTTGTTGGAAAGTAGGGCTTAGATCAGAAATGAAGCTCACGCCCACAAGGGGCGTAAAGTGTGTCACCTGAATGGGATTTCCGGTGTTTAGGACGCCTTGGCCGCGTACAAGACCTTCAGTCGTGTCCATTGCAATCGTTCTCACGGTATTCTCTCCAAGATGCTGGGCTACCTCGAGCACCAGTCGAATTTCGTGACCGTCCACTTCGAGAGCGCTCATAATCGGCGGAAGATCACCGTCAAATTGGACGTCGACAACAGCGCCTATTACCTGGGTGACTCTTCCTTCAGCAGATGGGGGATCAACCGCAGCAGCAAATCCTCTGGAATGGAAATGTTCGCGTGACAGGGAAGACGCGCTGCTATCTTGAAGTTTCAGGTTGTAAGGAGCGCTCAAACGGGACTTGCTCGGAAAACGATTTTCCTGTTTGAAAAGCTCTCTGGACAGCCTTCGGGCCGTTCGAGAAAAACGCCGCATTGCGTCTAAAGGCGAGGCGTTTAACGCAACGGGGTATCGGACGCGGCGCGGTAACGGTTGCCTTGTGACCCGCGTGCGAGCAGTCTAAAATTTCCGTTAACGGGAAACGAGAAACTTGAGCTACTCGTAGCTAGATACTGTACGTGTACAACGTACGTAGTCTAAAATACGGAAGTACGGAAGTACAGTAGGCTAGTGGCTATTACGAAGGTAGGTGCGTTCTATACAAAAGTTTTTCACCCATAGATCGGTTTCAACACTTGATCGCGTCTTCTTTCAACTGACCGATGAACATTTTTTGTATAGAACGCGCCTCAGCGAAAGGATATGAGCTAAGAAAGGATGGCGAAAGGATGAGCGCGCGGTGTGCTATAACATCGTGCAGACGCCGTTTTTGGCTCTGTAACTGCACGGCATGTTAGATGACATCGCCCTCGAGGCGCGCGGATCGACCGCGTTCGTGTCTGAATCGCACGAGCAAAGCATAGACTGGCGCGATCGTGTCGATTTGTAAAAGAGCATTTTTCTTCGCAGCTACAGCCTCGAACCGCGGAGTTCAACTGCCGACGCAAGCGATCGTTTTTTTTGCGCTGCGCGAATTTTAAATATGCGCTAATTTGTTCACGCGATATAATCACGAAGTTTTTTCACGTTCGGAACTGTTTCCATGAAGTTTCGACGTCGCGTACGCGAGCTCAGGAGACGGCAAATGTTTCGTAACGCCGAGTCTGTTTTGCAAACGACGGATCTGTGCGCCGGTACAGCCTGATTCAGCGCCCCAGGTGTATTAAACTCGCTGGAATGATAGATTACGCTGTCTAGTCGATGTTCCATTTGACGCTCCGGACGCAGCCGCGGCGCGCGCCTCTATGACTGTCCTCGCGCGGCGCGGCATTTAAAAGGATGAGCTCATCAGTAGTTCATCCTTTAAGACGTACCTTCGACGGTACGAAAGTACTTTCGAAAGTACTTTCGAAAGTACTTTCGTACGTTAGCTCTATACGATTTGCTCATTAAGGTCATGGTGGGGTAATTCACGATTTCAGAAAGAAAGTACGAAATTTATACTGAATACGCATACAGATGGCAAAAACGTACTTTCGTACGCGCCCGCGCGCCGTCGCTGCGCGGATCTATTTGAAACTTCGTCACGATGTTGTACATCATGTTGCTGATGCCCTCACAAAGTTTCGCGATTCTAGAAGGCCTGGAAGGCGGTTTTCGGAACCCTAAGCGACTCTTTTTAACACTTTAGTGTTTCGCGCGCAGGTGTTCGCGCGTACACTTTTGTACGTGTATTTTTGCACGAGTACGTTTTTTGCTGGTTTTTTTCGAATTACGTAGAGGACTACCTTAAATGTACTTCCGTGCTGCTGTATTCGTACGAAGGTACACGACTATTCTACTCGGGCTACGAAGATAGACTCTCCGATAGCCAGAAGTAATAATCTTCGAAGGGCACGTACACGTCCACGTACAGTACTTGTACAGCTGTACACGTTTTATGGAAAAGTACAGTACGGAAATAATTTCGACAACAACTTACTGTAGCTATCAGCTAGTGTGTAGCTGTGTACTTTGTAGTCTATCTGACACGTACACGTTCTATGAATACTTCCGGAAGTAAAACGATGTTTCCGGGGGTATTTCCGCAAGACTTCCGCAAGTATATCTCAATATACATAACAACTTTATACCTAGAAATATATGGTGACCGTGTAAACATGAAAGCCTGAGTTTTGAACCCGCATATCAACAGTATATACAGTACGGAAGTACTGTACCCTCGAAGGTACTTCCGGAAGTACAATGTTAGTTGTACGAAAGTACAATACACGCACACGTACTGTACTTCTTCCCATGTTCCGTCGATCCGTACAGTATCCTCGTGTGCGTGAAAGAGACTCGTGAAAATAGCATGTCATGAGTGGCATAACATAATAATCCAAGCTTCGATACCACAGTACCTCCACCCTCCGCGCTTCAACCGCCGCTCACGTCGCCGCGAGCCCGCAAACGCCGTCGCGACACTGAGAGAAAGTGTGAAGATCACCGCGATGCGTGTGATGACGCAAAAAGATTAGAGCTTACCGTGAAGAAACGCGCGCGCGCATCGCCGGAAGTAAAGGTATGAAATGGGGTCTCACAGAAGGCTCACAGAAGGTCATAGAAGCCCCACAGAAGCCCATGACCCTCGTGAAATCGGTCTCAAAAATATACAAACTTTTTGGTAATTTTGAGGGCTTAAAGAGGTGCGACAAAGTTCCGTGATTTCTGCGTCAGCGAGGCTCACGGAGATTTGTAGAGGTCTATTAAGTCTGGGTTGCTACGCTCCAGATACGCCCCCGAAAGTCTCGTGATTTAGGTAAGGTTTCGCGAGCTGTCGGGAGGTTTTTGAATGGTCTTGAGGTTAAAAAAGGCTTCACTTAGGTCTCAAAGTTCCGTGAATTCTGCGTCAGCAAGGCTCACGGAGGTCTTAGAGGTTCTTGGTTGCTACGCTCCAGAAACGTCCCCGAAAGTCTCGTGAATTCCGTAAGGTTTCGTGATACTTAAAGAGATGTCGGGAGGTTTTTCGAATGGTTTTGGGAGGTCAAAAAAGAGACGATTTCTTGGTTTTGGGAGGCATCACTTATTAGGGCTACACGTACTGTACATGTACGTGTACACGTACTGTATTTATGATACGAGTACGTGTAGTGTAGGTGTCTAATTTTTATTTTTTTGGTTTCTAACCCAGTTGTACGTGTACAACTACACGTACTGTAAAGATACAAATCACCTACCTTCGTACCTAAGGTATTAAATTAGGTTTTGATAGGCAAGTACTACAGTACGCCCTTTAAGCCGCGAATTAGCGTTGATGCGACAGAGTTAAGGGTGAAAAGACCGCGAAGCGGTCAACCCTTTAAGCTCCGTTAATTCACGCTGATTCGCGGCTTAAGATACTACGAAGGTAGCTACCTTCGAGGAAGTACTTCCGTACGTTGTACAGGTACTTCCAGGAGTACGATATCATATCTAGAATAGTATATCTACCGTACGTTGCAGGACGAGTGCAGGACGTACATAGCTACATACGCACTTCGTTCCGTACTTCCGTACGTATGTACTATGTAGCTATTTATCTACGAAGGTATGTAAGTTGTTACGTATACGGAACGAAGTACGTAGACTATGCATATGTATGTGAGGGCGGAACAAGCAACTTTTGTTTTTTTGTACAGACTAATATGGAACTTAGCCGACGGTGCCATAGACACAGTAGTCGTTTATGCCTGCCTTTTTTAAAATAGCCCTTTAACGTATTCAAAATTTCACAACCAATCGAAAAGGTGCTCTAAACTAGGGCTAATGAAAATTTCTTTCAGATGTACTTCTGGACGTATTTCGGTACCTTCTAGTCTACATCCGGTTGTAACTACAACGTACTTCACTGCATAAAATCTAGGGCAAGCGTCACAGTTTCACAACCTGCTCAATACTAAACGGGCATACTCGCGTTTAGCACAACATTGAGGCTTCTACTCTAACGCTTTTGTTGATGACTCTTCGCAGTAGATCGCAGATGCTTTGCTTGAGACAAGTGCAAGCTGTTCAGAAACTCAGTGAGAGTCAAGTCACTTGTGCTGTTAGCATCAGAGGTGCCAAACATATCTTCTAGGTGCTGAATCATGCAATTATTCAGGTAAGAAAATATAGACGAAGAAAGAAGGCAGCAGGGGTAACCAAATGTGAATCATAAAATGTGATAAGTTTGTCAAACCAAGAGTAGAGTTCAAGTTCGGGGCTCACCGAGTCAAGTAATCCTTTGCCAAACCGAAGGTACAAAATCTGCATAGCTTCTTCGATAGATACCGTCCCACTATCATCTTTGTCATTCATTAAAAATTCTACTACATTGAACAGCCTACGGGGTTCATATCCTGCATACGTGATGAGCAGCAAGATCAGATCAAGTACACGACCGAATGTTGGAGTTTTACCTGTTTTATCCTGTCTGCACCGGTTGTACATCGTCTGAAACTCCGGCCAATTTACGCACATATCGCAGTCATCATCAACCTCCCATATCATATCTTCAATCTCGGTCTGCATGTCATTGGAATCATACATCAAGGTTTCCCGCAGAAAAACCGTGTATGTTGAAGGAGAGAAGTTACCTTTTTCGCTGTGTGACCAAGAATACGGAAGACGGAACTTAACTCGTCTGCGTCAATTTTACCATCACTACGTAGTAAAAAGATTGTCAGATGAGTTAAATTGGACGCTAGACGCGCGCATTCTTTTATGATTAATTGCATTTACCCTCTGGTATCCAACCTCCGAAAAGCTCTGAGAAGGTCTTCGGCCTCATTTTTCTTTGCAAAACGCTCCTGGAAAAAGGAAGACGAAGCGCGACAAAAAGCTAAGTATCTCAAAGAACGGCCGATCGAGAGTTAATGAGTGAAATAAGACGCAGCATGACATCGATTGACGGCTACGGATAAAAGCAAAAGAGACTCACGCGTGCAGCTTGCGCCATTTGGCGGCTTAGAACGTAATTTTGGTAGGTCTGTGTGCTAGTTGCATAAAAATACACAATTATGTCGTCCGTGTAAGCTACACGTGTACAACATGTACACGTACGTACGTGTACAGTACTTTCGTACTTTCGTACTTTCGTACCTTCGTACATAATAATGTTGTACCTTCGGAGATACCTTCGTATGATAGAATATTCTATGGAAGTATCTATTGTACTTTCGTACTTCCGTACACAAACATACATGCATGCATTATTTTGTATTGTAGACTACCTTCGTACAAGATATGATACCGTACAGTATTCTATCTTCGAAGGTACAACTTTTTATGTGTACATACAACAGTACACTTTTACTAGTCTTTTACTATTATTACATGTACAGTACGTGTAGTACACGTACTTCGAAGGTACGAAAGTACGAAAGTACAACGTACTTTCGTACTTTCGAACAATTTTTACTTGACAGTAAAAGTTATAAACAACTTACTGTACGTGATGGGTTAATAAAGTCTCTGAACTTTAGACTGTTCATTTCTACTCAACCTCTCGTCTTCGATATCTGGTTGCGCTGAGCCTGCACGGAATCCGACACGCGATAACAGTCATCTAGCGTGCCTATCAGTCGTTGCTCCTCGGGCACTACTTTTACCATACAACTCTCTTAGCTTGTGTTTTTTTTTTCCCAAGCCGCCGCCCTTTGTTTCCTTCCGCAAGTTGAACACTGAGATGCCGAAGAAATCGACGAAGAGTAAGTCAAAGCGTACAACACTTAAGCAGAAATATAAGCTTATCAAGAAGGTGAAGGAACATCACAAGAAGAAGAGGCGCGTAGATGCCAAAAAAAAACGTCTAGGCATCAAACCTCCAGCGCCCAAAGACCCTGGGCTTCCAACACAGTGGCCATATAAAGAAGAGCTCATGCATGAGATCAACTTCGAGTCTGAAAAGAGGCGGAATTTTGAAGAAGCGAAATCATTATCGAAGGCATTTCGTCGAGCAGAGTCACGCAAACGATCGCGGGCTAAAGGTGTAGGGTTGCCTCTAGAAAATCTCGAGGTTCTTCGCCAAGGGGCAGACAAAAGAGGAGACGCTTTCAACTTAAAAACAAATATATTAGACTCGCACACTGCAGGTGCCCGGGTTACCAGTGATATTGACAACTCCAGGCGAGCTCATTTCAGGGAGTTTTTAAGAGTTGTTGAAGCCTCCGACGTCATCATCCAGGTGTTAGACGTGCGAGATCCACTTGCAAGCAGGTCTTTGGAGGTTGAACACATAGTGCGAAGTTCAAACCCACACAAACGTGTTGTTCTTCTGCTGAACAAAATAGACCTCGTGCCAAGAGATAATGTAAAAGCCTGGCTCAAATACTTTCGTGAAGAAATACCCTGTGTCGTATTCAAGTGTGCGACAGGAAGTGCAGGAAGCAGCAGCAACAAACTAGGTTCGCGGGCCCTACCCACACAGGGCACATATGGAGGAAAGGACGCTCTTGGGGCAGAAACACTACTGCAACTGCTGAAAAACTATGCTCGCAGCCGGAACCTAAAGAGGGCAATCACCGTCGGTATCGTTGGGTTTCCGAACGTCGGGAAATCGTCGCTTATCAATAGTCTAAAACGAAGTCGCTATGCTGCAGCTGTTGGTAACACCCCAGGTTTCACAACAGTTTCAAAAGAAATCACGCTAGATAAACAAATAAAGTTGATTGACTCCCCTGGGGTCATCTTCGCGTCAAGTCTAGGTGAGTCTGCAGGATCTGTCGCACTTCGGAACTGTATCAAAATTGAGAAACTTACAGATCCGATTGCACCTGTTGGTGAAATTCTTCGGCGCTGTCCAGCAGAGCAACTCATGCTCCTGTACGGAACGGGCAAATTTGCAGACACTGACAGTTTCTTGAGACAGGTTGGTCGAGTGCAAGGTAAATTAAAAAAGGGAGGTATTCCTGATTTGGTTGCAGCGGCACGTGTCGTGCTGAATGACTGGAACTGTGGCAGTATACCATATTATACCGAACCTCCTGAGCGATGCAGCACTGCAGATGAGATCTACACAGGCAGTGAGGTTGTGACGAAGTGGAGTAACGAGTTTAATGTTCAAGAAGTCTTTGCTGAAGAGGAAAGTACTGTCATAGCAGGTATCCCGTCCGCCTCAATCTCAGACTTGGAATTCTTGTCCTCAAAGAGCGCAGGTGCCGCTAAGCTTGACACAATCCAGTGTAGTAAGGATAACAAAAGTGAGGGGAGCATTATAGACAAAGAGAGTAACAAGGAGGATAGATCTGAAGACTCTGTTTTAGCGAAGAGAACTGCTCGGAATACGCAGGTGTATCCATCTAGATCTGATGGACCGAATACTCTGGGCAGTAGTCCCGTTAACGTGAAGTCATCAATGGCGCAGATTACCGTGTTGTATGAAAGTGTTGGGCAGCTAAATCCAAACCAGCTGCGCGCTGTGAAGAGGAAAACAAAGAAGATCAAAGCAACAATCAAAACAGGTTTAGGAAGGGACGAATCCGGTTCTGAATACAATTGGGATTGAGGCTCTGTATGAGTTATTGTGGCTGGGTAGCGTCAATTCCATGCCTGTTCCAATTATATATACAGTATATCTTCTGGAACATGAAGAATGCGCTTTATACAACTGTATAATTAAGATGCTCAAAACTTCATCACAAACCCCGAAGCTTTAGAAACGCGGTCTTCAGCACGCGTGCCTCATTTGAAACTGTCTGTCCGTTCACATCATCGAAACTCGGCTGCTTGAAGAACGCTAGAACATGCTTTCCATGCCGCTCTACACTATCCAAAAATAAGTTGATCTCTTCCAGTGTCTCATCCCCCACCGACAGTATTCTCTTTGTCATTTGATCAATGAGGCTCAGAAAGCACCTTTTCGCATAGAACCAGGTGTCTGAATCTAGTCTCTTGGGGAACGGTTCCAGTGATTTCATTACGCGGCTGATTCCAAATGCATAGTTCCCCTTGGTACAGTATAACGTTCCAATAACTAGGTTCACAATGCACAGATGAAAATTCCTTGCTTCAAGTTTGACAATTTCTGAATCGAACTCGTCTTGTTCGATTCTTCGCATAAGCTCCTCTGCCTGTTCGTTCTGACTCGTCATGATGTACGCAACACACAAGTTGGCTAGAACGATGGCTGTACACTCTAGCAGATTGGGTTCATGTTGTCTTACGATGGGTTCATAATACGCTATTGCCTCAGCGTATTTTTCATCTGTTTGCAGTGACTGCATGAAAAAAACATGTGCAACATTTAGGCGCCAGGCCTCGTGCTCTGAGCAGTGCTCTGCTGCAGCTTTGAATATCTGCTCGACCTGGTTGTAGTGTTCAATATCCCAATAAATCTTAGCCTTGGACATCAATATGGGTACATACAACTCCAGTGCGTCATCGTAAGCAAGCAGTGCTTGTTTGACTGCCTCAGCATCACGAGCTGCTCTCGCTCCATGAATAGTCCGAGTCAGCATTCTCAGACTTTCCATGTGCTTATTGTTCAAAATATCCAAGCGAAGGTACGCATCTTCTGGAGATAAATGTGACATGATCAGTGCAGTGACGTAGTCATATGTATCACGGGGCAAGTACTTTTCAACGAGACGTTTGTTTGCAGCCAGTACATCAGCTGCTAGATCGTAAAAAGCGTGCTCTGGCTTACAATACAGCATCAGCAAATTACCGCATGTCTCGGGGGGACATGACGGTGAAAGTAATAAGAAATTCAGCTTGTGAAAACTGTCCACAGGATTCACATCCACAAGCATGAGCGCCACGTTGTGCAAAGTAACTGGGTCTAGCTCCTCTTCTGACCGGGGTGGCATGTCTGCCAGGGCCGCGTGGTAACCTTTAGGATTCTTCATCGCGTACTCTATTGCTGCCTTGAGATTAAATGCCTCGATAAGAGCCGTCTGCTTAAGCACAGTGGAGTTGCCAACACTTCGAACTTCCGCAAGGTTCATGCAGTCAACGCCACGTTCCGTTTTGTTGCTTAAGAAAAGCTCTGGATGTTCTCGCGCGCCTCGTTCAATTATTTCCGCAAGATGCTTCAGCGCCGGTCCGAACTGTTTTGAGCGGTAGTAACAAAGAGCGATGTTATACGCTAACTCAGCATGGTAACCAAGCCGGTGCATAGCATCCGTGAACACGAGCCTAGCCTCCTCAGGGCGCGCCTCTTTCAAAAGACAACACCCAAGGTTTATCACAGCGCTGGGTTCAACTTCCGTGTGCTGTTCGAGCTCCGCTCTACAAGTCTCCGTGTCGTCCCCATCAAACGCGATAGCGGCTTTCAGGTTTGCCACACGAGCAACCTGTTTTGGGTCGTCGATCTCGTTGGCTAACTTTGTGGCTTCAGTGTAGGCTGACTTCTTGAAAAGAGACTGCACATGGTATGTTTTGTACGCTGGCTGCTCGGGGTGTAAACGCGAAAGGGACTCGTACACGGTCGCCGCGTCGTCGTAGTAGCCGGCATGATAGTAACAGTATCCGAGCAGCGAGAGCGCAGGGCGGGATTTCCGAGCTATCGAGAGTTGTGCCTCAAGGACAGGGATGCACACCTCGTGTTGGCCGTCTCGGATCAGGCCGTATATGGCCGCAGTTGCACCGCCCTCGGACATTTTTTTTGCGAGCCTGATGGCGGTGGTTACAAGAGGCACTAGACAATGTGTGTGATATCGCGCCGCAGGTGCAATCAAATCATCGTCGAGGAGCAACTGCTTATGACGCTCGGGCCTACCTTCGTACAGCGTTGTGCTACACGTGTACCTTCGTAGTAACAGCGCGAGCAGTTATCTATCTTTATTTGAACAGATCGATGTTTTTTTAAAACAATTGTACACTCGTACTGTACATGTACACCAGGGGACACGTGTAGTCGTGTACCGTGTAGTGATATTGATACGTGTACAGCTGTACACGTAGTGATATGTGTAGTGATACTTTCGTACGAAAGTACGAAAGTAGTTGTACTTTCGTACTTTCGTACGAAAGTACTTTCGTACTTTTTAAAACTTACTTTCGTACTTTCGTACTAAAATTTCGAAACTAATACTGTAGGGCTATGTAAATTTACGTGTACATGTACGTGTACGTGTAGGGCTACGTTGTACTTTCGAAAGTACTTTCGAAAGTACTTTCGTACTTTCGAAAGTACAACTACGAAAGTACTGTACTGTACAACTAGTTGTACTTTCGTTAGTACTTTCGTACTTTCGTACTTTCGAAATATCGAAGGTACTGTACTGTACACGTAATATGATACACGTGTTTATCCGACCCTTGTCCGGACGCGAAAGGTCGCGGTGCCTGCGGCACGTCGCGGTGCGCGTAAACGCGAGGCGCGCGCAACCTCGGCGCACGTCGACGATCGACGAAGACGCGCGCGCGAGAGGCGCGGGGGAACACGCCGCTCGCGTCTTCCGCGTCAGAGGCGGAGCGCGCGCGCGCGAGCGGCGAACGCGGCGGTCGCGTGTCGCGCGGTATGTCGCTCTTGACCGGAGGACATCGCGTGAGCGCGACGGTGTGCGAGGCGAGCTCGCTGGACAGCGCGCGGAGCTCCGCGAACCACGAATTCGCGACGCGAATCATGTCGTCCGAGCTCGTGAATCTGCAGGATCCCGGCGTGGAGGTGTCGAACAAGCTGCACGAGCTGTGCACGGTCGTGAAAGGTGCGCCGCGTGCCCGCGATGGATCGCGCTCGCGAAAGGACCACTCTCCGAGCGACGGCCGCCGCGAGCGCGCGGCGGCCGCGACGCGCACGACGCCCTGATCTTTCGTGTGTGTTCTCGCGTCGAATCGTCGGCGACATCGCGCGCGGACGCCTCGTCTCGTCCGGTTGATCAGACGAGAGCGACGCGAGCGCGCGCCCTCGGCCGCGCCGTCCTCGCGTCGTCGCGCGCGATCGTCGATCCCCGCTCGAGTCCCGCGCGCGCGTTCACGAAAAAGACCCCGCGCCCGCGTCGATCGAACGCGTCCGTATCTTCTGGATCAGCACCGTCCGGCGTCTCTCCTCTCCGGCGCGCGCGCGTCGCGTGCGTCACGGAGCGGCCCCACTCGGCTGTCGAGGACGACGCCCGCGTCTCTCTCCGCGCCTCGTCGCTCGCGCGTCGCCGCGGCGACCCGCCGAGCGTCCGCGGCCGCTGACGTTTCCTCGCTCCCCACGACCCCGATCGACGTCGACTGCAGTGAGATGCGCGGACCGCATCGCGCTGCTGCTGGACATCGTGAACTTCTTCCGCGACTGCGCAATCACGATCGTGGAGGCGGAGGTCACCACGACTGCGAACGACGGCATGGCGTCTGACATATTCCTCGTCCAGGTGTTTTTTTTTTTTCACCCGCGGACGCTTTCATTTTTTTACCGCGACGCCGCTCAACTGACCGCGACTTCGTGCGCGATCACCTCACCCTCCAGGACGGACCGAACCGCGAGAAGGTGAAGTCCACCAGGCGGCTCGCGGAGTCGCTGAGGGGCGTCATCCTCGTGCACGAGGAGAACTTACGGTCGAGCCAGGAGCAACCCATCGACCTTGCCGCGTGCGGGGCGTGGAACCACCGAGACGCGAGCGTGGAGTTCGCGCCAATCATTTTGAGCGACCTCGTCGCTCGCGGGGACTCGCCGCCGATTCCAGGCGCGAGCGCGGACGACGGCGGCGGCGGCGGCGGGCTCGAAGACCGAGATGACAGCGCGAAGGGCGCGATGTCCGCGTTGATGAGTCGACTCGACGTCGGCGGCGACGACGACGGCGCCGCCCGGGAGAAGGCGAAGATCTCGCGTCGCGTCTCCTCCGTTCGCGGCGACGGATTAAAACTCAACTCGAGCGACGTCAACGCGACGGAAATTCACATGGAGGTTCCCGACCGTGTCGGTCTTCTGTCCGACGTCGCGAACTGCCTGCGACGGGAGAACCTGAACATCTTGCACGCGCATATATACACCACCTCGGATGGCATGGCGTCAAACTACTTCTCCGTCCAGTGCACGGACACGAAGACGAAAGTGCCGTCGGGAGTGCTCGAGAAAGTGAGAGCCGCGCTCGCGGCGCGGTGCCACCGCGACGCTGTCCCGGGGCGTTCTGCGATACATGGGAGGTTATCGAGGAGAATCTCGAGCACCGGGCTGAAAGATTCCGAGACACGAGACGAGATCTCGCACCGGGTCATGCAGCACCGCGAGGAAGTCACGCAACAGAGCCCGAACCACCGTCACCGCGTAAGAAAACTCGCGCACTTGGACCTCAATGCGCTGCCGCCGGCGAGTTCGACGATGAGCGCGTCGGACCGAGCGGTCGCGGAAGCCGCGCTGTGCGAGCTCCCAGCGTATGCGTCGCTGACGTCCAGGGCGGCGCGCGATGAAATCATCGACGAGTTGCGCGAGGTGAAATGGGAACCTGGCGAGGTCGCGTTCGACGCGAAGGACCCGATCCCGAACGTGTACATCGTCACGCGAGGATGTTTGGCTCGCGACGCGTTCTTCTCGAAGAGTGGACAGAGCAACCCGCGCGTCTTGCTGAGAAAAGGCGACCTCGTCGGCGAGGTTGCGCTGAATCACGCGCAAACCGCGAACGCGGCGATCACGAGCGTGGACGAGAACGGAGTACCGGTCGAGACGACGGCGTTCGCGATCAACTGCGAGACGTTCAAGCGCATCGTACGAACGCGCATTCACCGTCAACGTCAGCTCTGCAACAACGTTTTGAATATCATATTGACGTTTCGCGCGGTGCCGACGCGGAAGAAGGAGTTGTTATTGAACGCGTTGTGGAGCGCGTCCGTGGCGATGCCTCCCGGGACGAAGCTCGAGTTTGGAACGATGTCCACAGCGTTGCACGTCGTCTTAGAAGGCGAGGTCGACGTTGTCCCGCTGCATAGCGAGGAGAAGAAAAAGACGCTGAGAGGCGGGGACACGTTCGGGAACGATTTCTTGATGTCTCCGGAGATGTACGCGCGGGCGGAGAGCGAAAAATTACTCGAAGATAGGCTCGGACACTCGTACGTGTGCAAGACGCACGCGGTGTTGCTGCTCGTGACGAGGGGACTTCTCGAAAGCTTGTGGGGGGAAAGTTTCGATTCGTTGCTGTCGTTCCGGTGCGAGAAATCGCGGAAGGAGGCGAAGAGGAACTGGAAGACGGGGCTGTCAAAAGTGAATGCGTCGCTATCTTCGCGCTCGTCGAACGAAGCGCACGGTGGCATGTACGACACCTCGGACATTTCGAGCCCCCGGATCTTGAAGAGCCCATCGCCGAATTCGGAAATTTCCTCCGACGACGGAAGCGAGATCGGATCGCCGTCCTCTGTCGCGGCGTCTACCCCGGGAGCTGGGTACGGCACAAAATCTCGGTTCTCGGACACGCCATCGTCTTTCGAGGGCAGGCTCCCACCGAATGTGGAACGGTACGATCCGAACGCGGATTTGATGCCCGAGACGACGAAGAAGAAGAAGAAGTCGCTTTTCTCCTCGCTAAAGAAGAGCCTCGGGGCGAAGATCAAGGGGAAAAAGTCAAAAATGCCGGAGTCCGGGCCAGAGCAGTCTCTGCACGGGGCGAAGCTGTTCAAGACGAACCTGGACGCGGGTCGGTCGATCGGCGGGAGCAGCCACGGGGGATCGCATTACACGGAATACGCCGACGACTTGGACGATTCCGTGCGACTGGGGACGAACAAGATGGACCTGGGCGGCAGCGTCCACGGCGGGTCGTCGTTCAAAACGGGGTCAGGCAAACTCAACAAGGTGAAGTCAGCGACGAACATTTCGGGGATCCTGACCGGCGGGATGTCCCCGGCGCGGGCGAAGTATTCGACATATTCTGCGCCGCCGCTCAGCGCGCTCGGGATGTCGTCCGAGGAGTACCAAGCGTTGCTCTCCGCGGAGACGGCGGAGGCGGCGAAGGACCCGTTTGAGGGGTACACGTTCGTGAAACAGCTCGGCGTCGGTCTAACCGGCTCGGTGTACAAGTGCTGGAAGCCAAACTTGAGTAAGGCGGGCGTGCAGGACAAGGAGAAGCCATACGTCGCGGTCGCGGTGAAGATCATGGACAAGGCGCAGATTCTCGACATCAACGAGACGGAGCACGTCACGCGAGAGAGCTCGATCATGAAAGCCGTGTGTCGACACCCGTTCATCATCACGATGAGCGAGTCGTTCCAGACTCCGAGCGCGCTTTGTATCGTGATGGAATACGCCGCGGTGAAGGATTTATTCTTCATGATTCACGAGCTCGGCGCGTTGTCGCTGTTTCAAACCAGGGCGTACTTCGTGCAGGTCGTCTTAGCGCTCGACCACGTCCATCACAAAGGGTTCGTGTATCGCGACTTGAAGCCGGAGAATTTGCTCGTGCGCGATGATGGGTACCTGCGGCTGACCGATTTTGGGTTCGCGAAGGCGTTGAAGCCGGGCGAGCGCGCGTACACCGTCTGCGGGACGCCAGACTACCTCTCTCCAGAGGCGTTACGGCACCATGGATGTAACCGAGCCGCAGACTTTTGGGCCGTGGGGATTTTACTCTTCGAGATGATGGCCGGATACCCGCCGTTTTATGGGCAGACGCACAGCGACCTGTACCGGCGCATCACCGAGGGGAAGCACCGGACGTTTCCGAACACCATGAGCCCTCACGCTCAGGACTTGATACGGCAACTGTTACGGCAGGAGGAGGGCGAGAGAATCGGCATGGGCGCGGGAGGAATACAGGCGATTCGATCGCACCCGTTCTTTAAAGGGTTCAGCTGGAGTGCGGTGTTAGAGCAGAGGGTAGACATGACTCTCCCGTCGAAGATTGAGCCGGACGCAGACCTTGGGCCGGAGGACATCACTGAGCCATGCGAGGTGCCGTGCTTGACCGAGCTGTACAACCTCACGGACGAGGAGCAGAAGCTGTTCGAGGGGTTTTAAACTCGCTCGCGGGTGGTTATAAATTTTCTCCGACGACTGGGAGAGGTGGCCGCGCCGACCAGTGCGACATCAGCGAATGATCGCCTGGGACTTCGCAACCTTTCTTCTACAGTAATCCATTCTGGGGACCGTTAATCGCACGCGGTCCCGGAACCAGTTGACGGAAGTTGATGTAAACGATAATCTGTGCAATCATTCCTCGACGTTCGACATCGTTTTAATCACCGCTACGCGCTCGCTCCTCGCGAGTCTTCCCTTCCTCGCCTCCGTCGTCTTCCTCGTTCGACCGACTATGAATATAACCCCCTCCCAGCGGTCGCCGGGACCGCGGCGACGGACCGACCGAGCATCTCCGCGGCGGTGACGTGAGAAGCGAACAAAATCCTCGCGCGTTTTCGGCCGCCGCGCGAGCCCCCGCGCAATATCTCAGCCTCGTGCCACGGCGGGTGCACATACACAACTCCTTTGGAACGGAGCATGATGTCGTGCGCAACGTTCGCGTGCATCGCGACCGCGGTGCGCGCGGCGCGCGCGCGCGCGTCGTCGTCGCCTTCGCGACGGAGCCAGGAACCGCCGCCGCTGCCGCTTCCGTCGCCGCCGCCGCCGCCGCTCGCGCCTCCGCCGCGAGCGACGTGCTCTTCGTCTTTTCTCAGTGAACACTCCCACAGATACAGGTTCCCCTCTCTCCCGGGGTTGCCGAGTAGCGTAATCTCGAGCGGCTCGCCCCATCCGTTCTTCGCCGCCGCGCTCTCCGCGCCGGAATCCCCCCCTACCCCCCCGCCGCCGCCGCCCGCGACGGCGTGACGCGAGGCGAACCGCGCCTGTTGCGCCCTGACGCGCTGCATGATCCGCTGCAGCCGCGCCGTCGGCGCGCCGGCGCCGTGTTTATGAGCGGCCGCCCCACCACCGCCGACGGGGCCGTCGCCGCGCGCGGACGACTGCCCGCACGCGCCCGCGCTCGCGTCGTTCGCGGACGACTCGAGCGGGATCCTCGACAGCGCCCCCATCAGCGTCTTCGTCCTGGCGCGCGCGCCGTCGCCACCGCCGTCGCCGTCGCCGTCGCCGTCGCCGCGCCGCGCGACATCTCGCGCGGCGTCCTCCCCCTCCGTGCACGGCACCGCGTCGTCGTCGCCGCCGAGAAATCCCCCCCCCCCGCCGCCGCCGCCGATTCGAAACGCGTTCGCGTTCGCGTCGCCGTCGGCGGCGGCGTCGCCTTCATCGATTTCGTCGACGTCCTCGTCCGCCTCCGCCTCCGCCGTCGCGTCCGCTCGCACGCCCCCTCTCCTGAACGTCGCCGGGAACGCCGTGGACGACGTCAGCGGCAGCCGGGGCAGCTGCGACGCGTCCTTACGTCGAGCCGCCGCCATCTTCGTCGTCCTCTTCGTCGTCGCCGCGGTCGTCTTTTTCGTCGTCGGCTTCTTCGCCCTCGCCGTGGTCTTCGCCGTCGCCTTCGCGTTCGTTCCGCGCGCTCGACGTCTCGCGCGCGCGCCATCACCCGTGATAACCTTTGCCGCTGCGGCGGCGATCCTGAGCGTCTCCTCGAGTAAATCGCGCTCGTCGTCGTCGTCGTCGTCATCGTCGTCGTCGTCGTCGTCATCGTCGTCGTCGTCGTCGTCGTCGTCGTCGTCGTCGTCGTCGTCGTTCTTCAACTTCTTTCGACGCGGGCGCGGGGAGGGTCGCACCGCGACCGGGGAGACGCGCCGCGCGTCCTCGTCCGCGCGTCGCGAAGGCTTCGTCGCGCGCGTCGGCGGGGAAATTCTGCCAGGGAACGAGAGAAACCACGTGGCGTGAGAGGACGGAGAGGACGCGACGAACGAAGACAGCTGTCGCGCCAGTGGACTCGCGATTCGAACGACGCGCGAGATCTCGACGGGGCGAACGACGCGGTCGCGCGCGGGCGCTCACGGAACGACGTCGAGGTAGTCCTCGTCGTCATCGTTCATCTCCAGCGGCGGCGGCGCGCCGACGCCCTCGCCGCCGCCGCCGCCGCGACGCACGGTCGCGGTGACCAGCCCCGGCGGGTACGTCTCTAAGACGGCGAAGACCTCGTCAACGACGCGCGCGCCAAAATCCTCTCGAAGCGCGCGCGCGTCCACGCCGTCGGACGTCCTCAACCCGAGCATCAGACGCTCGAGCAACGTGTCCGCGACCGCCGTCGCGTCGTCCTC